ATCAATTTTCAATAAAAGTATCAAAGCAATTCTAAGTGGGAATGAAGTCTTTTCAGCAAATGGTGCTGAATTAGTTATCTTTATAGAAGAAAGAATCTGACCCTTCCCTCATACCATATAAAAAAATCAAGTCAGATTAGATCATAAACCTAAACAAAGAAGCTAAAATTATAAAGTTTGGGGGCGCCTGGCTGGCCTAGAGGAGCATGAGACTCTTGGTCTTTGGTTCGTGAGTTTGAACCCCACGTTGGGTGTGGAGATTACTTAAAAATAAATAAACTTTAAAAATATTTTAGGGGTGCCTGGGTGGCTCAGTTGTTAAGCGTCTGCCTTCGGCTCAGGTCATGATCCAAGGGTCCTGGGATCGGAGCCCCTCACTGGGCTCCTTGCTCGGCAGGGAGCCTGCTTCTCCCTCTCCTGCTCCCCCTGCTTGTGTTCTCTCTCTCTCTCTGTGTCAAATAAATAAATAAAATCTTTAAAAAAATTTTTTTAAATTATAAAGCTTGTGGGGCGCCTGGGTGGCTCAGACGGTTAAGCGTCTGCCTTCAGCTCAGGCCATGATCCCAGCGTCCTAGGATCGAACCCCGCATCGGGCTCCCTGCTCAGCAGAAAGCCTGCTTCTCCCTCTCCTACTCCCCCAGCTTGTGTTCCCTCTCTCTGTCTCTCTCTATGTCAAATAAATAAAATTTAAAAAATAAATAAATAAAATAAATTATAAAGCTTGTAGAATGAAACACAGGAGAGTATCTTTACGATCTTGGGGTAGACAATATTTCTTGGACCAAATAATGTACTACTATAAAAGAAAAGATAATCAACAAATTTGATTTCATCAAAATTAGAACTAATTTTTAAGTAAGCTCTACACCCAATATGGGACTCAAACTCACAACCCCAAGATCAAGAGTTGCATGCTCTTGTGACTGAGCCAGCCAGGTGCCCCTCAAAATTAGAATTTATTTCCTTCATCAAAATTAGAAACTTTTGATCTTCAAAAGACACTGTTTGGAAATTGAAAAGTCAAGCCACAGAGTGGAAAATATTAGCAAAACAGATTTGACAAAGGATTGTATCCAAAATGTAAAAGAACTGGAATGCTATGTAAAAAGATAAACAACTCATTGAAAGACTGGCAAAAAACCTGAGCAGTGCCTTCACTATAGAAATATATATGAGCATGAAAAGACGCTCAGGATCACTACTGATTAGAGAAATGGAAATTAAAATTACAATTACAGACAATGTCATACCCACTAGAATGACTCAAATGAAAAAGACCAACAACACCAAAGTTGGCAAGGATGTGGGGCAAGTACAAATCTCAAACACTGCTGTGCGGGTGTAAAATGGTACAAATGCTTTGGAAGATTGTTAGCTGTTTCCTTTAAAACCCAAATTTCGGGGTGCCTAGGTGGCTCAATCGGTTAAGCGTCTGCCTTCAGCTCAGGTCATGATCCCAGGGTCCTGGGATCAAGCCCCAGTCCGGCTCTCTGCTCAGTGGGAGTCTGTTTCTCCCTCTCCCTGCTGCTCCCCCTGCTTGTACTCTTGCTCTCTGTGTCAAATAAATAAATAAAATCTTTAAAATAAATAAATAAAACCTAAATTCCACTCTGAGGTATGTACTCAAGAGAAATGCAAGCACATGTCCATAGAGAGACTTGTACAAGAAGGTTCACAGCAGCTTTATTCATAATACTCCAAAAGTTGAATCAATCTAAATGTCCATGAACAGGAGGATGGGTAAATAAACTGTCATATCCACATGATGAAGTACTATCAGAAATAAAGAGGAACAAAACACTTATCCATGAAACAACATGGGTGAATTCCTAAAACACTCTGCTGAGCCAAAGAAGCTGTAGAAAAAGAAAGAATCATATATCTGATTTCATTTACATGAAGTTGTAGGAAAAGCAAAACAAATCTATAGTGATAGACAACATGACAATGACTGACCCGGGGGTTGGGGAGACTGACTGAAAGGGGGCAAATGGCAGCCTTCTGGGGTGATGGAACTTTCTTCCCATGGTGGTCACATGGGTGTATTTGCCATAATTCATCAAACTGTACACTTAAAATATGTGCATTTTATTGTTTGCAAATAAGACCTTAATAAAAAAAAATAAAAAGTTGTCATTAAGATGAAGATGAAAAGCCCCAAACTTTGGGAAGGTATTTACGATACACCCATCTAACAAAAGATCATTCCCAGAAAAATAATATACAAGCCAGTAAGCAAAAGACAGCCAAACAGGGGCGCCTGGGTGGCTCAGTCATTAAGTGACTGCCTTCGGCTCAGGTCATGATCCCAGGTCCTGGGATCGAGCCCCGCACTGGGCTCCCTGCTCTGCGGGGAGCCTGCTTCTCCCTCTCCCACTCCCCTTGCTTGGGTTCCCTCTCTGCCAAATAAATAAATAAATAAATAAATCTTAAAAAAAAAAAAAAAAGACAGCCAAATAGAATGATGGATAAAATATATTGATAGGCGCTTTTTTTTTAAGATTTTATTTGTTTATTTGAGAGACAGAGAATGAGAGAGAGAGCACATGAGAAGGGGGAGGGTCTGAGGGAAAAGCAGACTCCCCACTGAGCAGGGAGCCCGATGAGGGACTCCATCCTGGAACTCGATCCTGGGACTCCAGGATCATGACCTGAGCTGAAGGCAGTCGCTTTACCAACTGAGCCACCCAGGCGCCCCATATTGATAGGCTTTTTACAGATGAGAAAAAACAAAAGTTTGTAAACATATGAAAAGATGCCCAACCTCCATTTGTAATCAGGAAAATACATATCAAGATCTTATAAGATACCATCTTACAGCCACCATTGGCAAAAATTAAAAGGCTGGGCAACATCAAGAACTGGTGAGAAGGAAGAGCAAAAGAAATTCTCATATTGAGCTGATGAGAGTGTAATTTGGTATAATTTCTTTTGCTTTGAATTCCTCTTTCACTTCAGGGTATATAATTTGGAAGAAGTCTTGCACTTGAGACCAGGAGACATGAACAAGAATGTTTATAACACAATTATTATAGTAGGAAAAAAAGAGAAGTCCTAAGTGTCTCAATATACCACATAATTGGTGCTATAATCATACAGTAGAATATATACAGAAGTGAAAATGAACTTCAGCTACACGTACCAACATAAAAAAAAAACTAATATTGAGGAAAAGATGGAAAACAGATGAATACAGACTGAAAAGTTCCATTTGTATAAAATGCAAAATATAGTATGCTGTTTAGGGTTGCATACATTGATGGTAAAAATTGAAAAGTAAAGGAAGGGAGTAATTACCATGAGGGTCAGGATTGTGGTTATTTCTTGAGTAAATGGGTCTGGGAAGAACATACAGGGAACTTTTAAGATGCTGACAATTTTCTATCTTTTAAGCTGGGTGGTGAGTTCTGGGGTACTCATTTTATTCATCTTTAAACTGTATATATACATTTAATATATTTTTTGTGTATATTTCATAATTTAAAAACAAGTAGAACGTTAGGCTAAGTGAAAGAAGCCAGACACCAAGGACCACATATTGTGAATCTAAGTGTATGATAAAATATCCAGAACAGGAAACTCCATAGAGACAGAAAGTAGATTAATGGTTGCCTGAGGCTGGGGATGCAGGGGAGAAATAGAGAGTGATTGCAAGTGGGTACAGGGTTTCTTTTTGGAGTGATAAAAATGTTCTAGAATTGACCATGGTGATGGTTGCCCAATTCTGTGAATACACTAAAAACTACTGAATTACATACTTTATAAGAATGAGTTGTATGTTGTGTGAATTCTATTTCAATAAAGAGCTGTTCTTAAAAATCCAGGGGAGTGGGATGCACGTAAAGGCTCTCAAGGGGCAATGAAATTAGGAAGCTGTTGAAGAGGAAGTTGAGAGCAGTGGTTCTCAAACTCTAGCATGCATCTAAATCTCCTGGTGGCCTTGTGAAAACACAGATTGCGGGCCACCATCCCCAGGTTTTCTGATTCTGTAAGGACTGAGCTGGGGCCAAGAATCTGCATTTTTTTAAGAGAGAGAGCACACATGAGCAGGGGAGGGGTGGGGAGAAGGGGCAGAGGGAGAGGGAGAGGGAGAGAGAGAATCTTAAGCAGGCTCCCTGCTCAGCACAGAGCCCGATGCTGGACTCCATCTCACGACCCTGAGACCATGACCTGAGCCGAAATCAAGAGTCCGATGCTTGGGGTGCCCCGTGGCTCAGTTGGTTGGGCGATTGCCTTCGGCTCGGGTCATGATCTCAGGGTCCTGGGATCGAACCCCGCATCAGGCTCCCTGCTTGGCGGGAGGCCTGTTTCTCCCTCTCCCACTCCCCCTGCTTGTGTTCCCTCTCTCGCTGTCTCTCTCTCTGTCAAATAAATAAAATCTTAAAAAAAAAAAAAAGAGTCCGATGCTTAACCAACTGAGCCACCCAGATGTCCCTCAAATCTGCCCTTCCAAAGGTTCTCAGGTGATGCTGATGCCCGGCCCAGGGACTGCACTTTGAGAACTGCTACTCTATACAACCTGGTATAGGTGTTTAATAAGTATATATTGGATGAATGGATGAATGGATGGATGGGAGGTTGGTTGAGTGTTTGGGTCAGTGGATGGGTAGGAGTTGAATGGATGAAAGGGTGGATGCGTAGATTAATGGATGGATAGCAGGTGGGCACATGAGTAGCAGAAGATGGCTGAATGGATGGATCAGGGATGGTTCAGAGTAGTAGGGAAGAAGATGGGGCTGGGGAAGTTGTAGTGTGGAATGTAGCATAGAGAAGAACTTGGAGTGAACGCCTACTTTCAACTCTTGTCGTGGGCTCACCACCCACTAACTGTGCAATGTTTGGCAGGTGACTTCACCTCCCTGAAGCTCATTTTCCTCATGTGAGACATGTGGGTTAACAATGCCTATGAATTTCCATGAGCTAATACCCTTAAAAGGGCCAAGCGCAGAGCCTGGCATGCAGTGGATGCTCCCTACTCTTGGGTTGTATCTGACTATTACCATCATATATCACTGGGCTGTACTGTGTGGTTGAGACGAGAGGCTTGTAATTCAGGTCCATCTTGTTTCCATAGTGGCCAATGCTGACCTCGAATTGGATCAGGTCCTTAAAGTTGGGCATCATGGTACAGGAAAGGAAGATGACACACAGCCCATACTTCTGGCGGTGATGGTGCCTCTAAAACAATAACCCCCCACATCCCCAGTACATAAGCCAAGGGATAAACAAGGCTCTAGAGACAGACAGGGAGCCAAAGATGAGGTGCCCTATTTCTTTCAAAAAGCCATCTTTGCTTCTCTTCAGGGTGAGCTGGACCATCTTTGAACCTGTGCCCCCTCAAAATCCTGCCTTGACTCCTGCTCAAGGGTAGTTCCTCCCAGGACCTCTATCACCTGGTCCCCTCCTCCTAGCCACCTGGGGTTCCTTTCCTTCCTGAAAGGGAGGCTTCTCCCTCCAAGGCCCTGAGGGTCAGGCTGGGCTCTGACTTGGGCCACCTTATCCCTCTCCTTTTTGCCTCAATGCCCTCCCCTGATGAGACCTGCTGTGGGCAGGGGTGTGGTGAAGGTGGCACATGCACACACATCTGCTCTGGGCCCTTCTCCAGCCGCCTCCTCCCACTATGCCTCCCATCTGCTGGAGGTCCTCCATCTACCACGTCAGCCGATCTCATTTCTGTGGCCAACCCCTGCCCTCCTCTTGTGCTCTCCCAGTCTGTTCACTAGCTCAGGTCTGCCCTGTCATAAAAAATAACCCTCCTTCTCCCCTCTGAGCCTCTGTTGAGCCCCCATCTGATCTTGTCTCCTTCCACTTTCCAGCCAAGTTTCTGTGCACTTGCCTCTATGCACAGTCTGCAACTTCTCCCTTGCACCTGTGCGGCCTGGCAACTCTCCCCTTGGGGGGCTGCCTCCGTGGTTCTCTTTGCAGACTCTTCCCCAGTCTCTTCTGCAAGCCCCTCCTCCTCCTCCACCTGCCTTAGGCCGTGGCTTCCTTTTACCCACCTACTCCTCCCAGTCATTTCCTTCACAACCCTATGTTCAGATCCTGGTGTGCTGATGACATACCATCTTTCTACAGCCTTGAGGACTGATTTTCACGGATGTCTCACCAGCATAGGATTCATTGTCTCCCTCCCCCCAGACCTGCTCCTCCTTCAGGGAGCATGGATGCCACCCTGACCATCTTGCCACCTGAGGCAGAAAAGGGAAATCAGCTTAGGGGAGTTAGCCTCATTTCTTATGTCTTTTTGGTCTTTGGTTCTGATCAGTCCGTTTCCAAAGGGTCTCTCTCGGGAACCTGCTCCCTCCTCTCTGGTTCTCCTTCCCATGGCTGTATTTCCCATTTTTAAAAATAACTGGTTGGCTATTCTTAACACTGTTCCCCCTGCCCCTTCCTGCAGCAGTGGTCTTCCCCTGACTATAGGAAGAAATATAAACTCCTTAGAAGATCATTTCTCGGGCGCCTGGGTGGCTCAGTTGGTTAAGCGACTGCCTTCGGCTCAGGTCATGATCCTGGAGTCCCGGGATGGAGCCCCACATCGGGGTCCCTGCTCAGCAGGGAGTCTGCTTCTCCCTCGACCCTCTTCCCTCTCGTGCTCTCTCTCTCAAATAAATAAATAAAAAATCTTTAAAAAAAAAAAAGACCATTTCTCCTTAACTAGATTGCACATTTCTTAAACAGAAACTTTATCTTGTATTTACTGGGTCCCTGACCACCCGGGATTTGGCACAGCATGAAGCCCTCACACGGGCTTAGTAAAGACTCAGGCAGATTGACCAAACATCCTCAGGCACCCAGGAGCTCATTCAGCTTGCGGCCGGGGCCTCTGCAGTCAGAAACAGGACCCGCAGTAGATCTGGGGTGGGCAGAGGGGCTCTTTCTTCCTGGGTTACCTGTTTCCTGTAGTTACCTCTATACTGGTCACTTCAGAGGAGAGATCCTTCCTCTTAAAGTCTTGATGGGAGGAGACGTGGGTGAGTAACTCCAGGAAGACTCGGCCTCGATAAGTTAAACCATCCTTAAGAGGGTCGGGAATATTCTAGGGTAACAGGAAGGAAAATGGTGAGAAATGGAATGAGAGAAAAAGAGCAGATAAATCTCCCTTGACACCTCTGCAGCAAAGACCGAGTTGTCTAGTGACTTCCTGCCTAGGGCTGACCACCATCCCGGGGCGGAATTCCAGACACCCAAGACATGGCTGTGCCCAGAAACCTCTGGGCCCTGACCCCTCTTCCATACCCCGAGGCCCATTCCTCCTCTTCACGCATTCCTCTCACTAGTCAACCCCGAGCACCTGTTCCCCGCAAATGCTTCCTGCACGTATAGCGGGCTCTGATAACTACTGTGCTTGCGCTCCCAGTCTGGCCAATCAGGGCATGCCCCGCCTCCTTGGCAACAGTGATTGGCCCAAGGGAAGTACACATGACATAAGGCAGCCAATTAGAATGCTCCCCTGGCCTTCCCTATTAGAGGCTCCGATCGATGGCCACTTGTTCGCAGGGAGGCCTGACTGCTGTAGGAAAGAAGGCAGACCAGGCTGAAGAGCAGCAGAGCTGAGAGATGGAGTAAATGAGAGAGACTCTTGATGGCATGGAGGTCCTGATGCCTGCAACTCAGTCCTCACTCAGAGTTCTTCCCAGCCCAGTTCCCATCTTTTAAGCCAATTGGAGTTGGCTTCCAGGCCTTTATCAATCAGTCTTTAACAGCCCAGTGCTTTCTACATTTACCTATGCTGTTTTTTGTCTCCATGTCCTTTCCACCTGCTGAAAATCTTACCCCGCGTTTCATCTCAGCGCTCCTTCCTCAGTGAACGCCCAGAGCTCTCCGTTTCTTTCTCATGCCACAACACACGTCCCATATACACATAGCCGTTTACACACTGGTTACATGTCCTGTACTAGCGTGGTGGACAGAAACCAGGGTCGGGCCTTCCCCCGGCACTTCCCAGGCCCCAGGGCCTTTCATACGGTTGGTATTACCTCCACTGTTCCCTAGAGCTGTCATGAGAAGCTTACAGTGCCTTCTTCTTGGATCCTGAAAGGGGCCTTTTTACCCCCACGAAGAGTCAGGAAGCTGGGGCCAAAACAGGGTAGGAAGCCAGAGTATGTTCCTGCAAGAAAAGAGGGTGAGGGCGGCAGGGCCGGGTGGTAGAGGGGCAGAAGGCAGGGGCCAGGGGGGATGGCTTGCCTTCTATTTCTGCTCCGGTAGATGAGATCTGGTTGAGGAACAGGCTGACCGTCCCAATCTCATCCCGGCAACTGTTCTTGGGGCTGGAAAGAAACACATTCTGCAGGCTGAGCTGCTGGCCCAGCTCTGATTATCTCCTCCCCGGCTTGTTTTTCAGCCTCCACCCCTGGCTCACCAGTCCAAGACTCTGAACTTGATGTAGCTGGAGAGGCAGGGCAGCTGCAACGGGAAAGCAAGAGCCACGGTGGGTGCATGCCCGGAAGGTCTGGTCCTCACAGAGACTGAGTGCAGCTGGGAAGTGCTGGGTCTGGGTCCAAGGCCTGGCTCAGTCACCAGTAAGCCATGCCACCACAGCCAAGATGGATTTACCATGGGAGCATACAGACCTGTGGCTGTGGGCCTCCGCACTTGCATGGGTCCCTTGCAAAGCCCTGGGAGAGGCCTACGACTGTGTCCCCTGGTTGCTTTGTATTCTTATTCTTAAAATGGCCCCCTAATTGCATGAGCTTCAGGACCGAGACCTGAGTCCACCCTGACCATGGGCTCAATGATTGCAGTCCTCATACAACCCTTCACTGTCACCAACCGTCTCACACAGAGGTTGTGGCTTAAAATGTCTTTTTCATGGTTAGTGGTTAACTTTTATTTTATTTTTATTTATTTTTAGATTTATTTATTTATTTGTCAGAGACAGAGCACAAGCAGAGGGAGCGGCAGGCAGAGGGAGAAGCAGGTCTCCCACTGGGCAAGGAGGAACCAGATGCAGGACTCAATCCCAGGACCCCAGGATCATGACCCTAGCCAAAGGCAGACACCTAACCGCCTGAACCATCCAGGCGTCCCAGAGGTTAACTTTTAACAGTAGGACATCTATCCCCTCCAGAGTAAATAATAGTAGCTGCTGTTGTGGGAAGGGTTTCCGTTGTCCCCTGGCTGTGCTGAATGATCTACATGGATCACCTGAGTGACTCCTCCCAACAACCCCATAAGCCAGGTGCTGTTATTCCCATTTCTAGACAGGAAAACCAAGGCACAGAGAAACTGAGTTCCTCAAGTTCTCTTTAAAAGCTCTCTTTAGAGTTCCTAATGACTCTGCCACAACCCGGGGAGGGGTGTGATTGTCCCTATTTACAGATGGGGAATGAGGCCCAAAGAGGTAAAGGGACTTGTTCAGGGTCCCACAGTCAGGGGTGCAGTCACGACTGGAACCCAAGCTTCTGGTTCTTATCTCCACTCTGCCACAGGGTCCCCTCAATTATGAAAACAAAAACCAATCTGTGCGTAAAACAGAGCTGCTGGGGTTGAGGCCTGAGTGGGACGCAAATCCTCTCAGTTGGGGCCCCTTCTCTCACAGCACTTCCTGAGGCATGGCTGAGAGTCCCTCCCATTCTCCATTCTACTCATCCATTCTCCCCTTGCCAAGGAGCTGGGGGTTGGGGCAGAGTAGGGAAAGGGCTTTCCAGTTAAGCAAGTGGTTAAGAAGAAACGAGGAAAGACCCCCTAGAAGTGGGGAGATGGGCACCGGAAGGCATCCAGGTCTTCCAATATTACAAATCCTCCACATTCACATTCATGGCTGAACCATCTTTTCATCCACCTTGTTGAGAATTCTCTTCCCCTTTCCCAGTTCCTTGTCTTGACTGCCCTCCTGTCCTGGGGCCCTTGGATTGTAAGCTGGCATACACCCATTTTCAGCAGAGCTTCCCCTGCAGCCTGCCTTGTTGGGGCCCTGACTGGCTGGCCTCAGATGCTACTGTCTCTGTAGTCACCCTACCATTCAGAGCGAGGGTCACATCTGCCTGCTGCATTTCCACAGGGCTAGTGACTATCAGGCTTGCATCCAAATGGCTCCAGCCCAGGAGACTGTGTTATGTGGGAAATGGGTGAGGGCCCAAGGGGTGTTTGGACATCTTTAAATGTTGGAAGGCCTCTTTCAGGGATGAAGTAGGGCCCAGCCTGCTTCAGCCTGGTTTCTGAGCCTAAAGGCAGCTGAACATGAGGGAGGACTTTCGAGGCTCTGAGCATCCACAGAGCATCTGAGGATCCTGGCCATGAGCCTCATCAGAGCCAGAGACAGGTGGAAGGGATCAAAGATGGAGGATAAACTAGGCTCCCTTTAAAAATCTCTTCCTAGGGCACCTGGGTGGCTCAGTCAGTTGAGTGTCTGCCTTTGGCTCGGGTCATAATCCCAGGGTCCTGGGATCGAGCCCTGCATCGGGCTCCCTGCTCACCAGGGAGCCTGCTTCTCCCTCTCCCTCTGTCTCCCGGGTTGTGCTCTCACTCTCTCTCTGTCAAATAAATAAATAAAATCTTTTAAAAAAATAATTAAAAAAATAAAATCTCTTTGTACTTTAAGAGTCTATAAAATTACTCAGGAAGGTAGGGATTATGAAGAATGGGTTAAAGATGATGCCTCACCAGGAGGCAGACTAGGGAAGCTTCTAGCAAGGAAGAGGGTCCCAGGAGAGTAGAGGGGAGTTCACGAGCTGATTTTACGTCACACAAATTTAAGGTATAAGGAAAGCGAAACACCCTCTGGGTAGCCAAATAGAAGCCACACAAAGTTCTACACACTCATACTTAATGACAGTGCTCAAGCTATCTCTCAGAATTTCCTACTCTTTTTCTACACACAGTTCTTAGAAGCCTGGCATGGAGTCAAAAGGCAATCAAGGCTCTCTCAGGGCTTTAAGAGGACTGGCATCCACACTCATGATAGGTGACTGAGAAGGACTAAAAAGCTCTAAAAACCAGACTACAGAATCCCACAAAGAAGAGCATCTTGGAGCCGTTTAGTGTAGGAACAAATAGCCCATACTCCATGTAGCCCATATACTATGTTCCCACAATACCTCTAGGCCATTAACAAAGAGCTATAATTATCTTCAGGGCACTTCGCCTAGAAGATAAGAAAATGCATAATACAATTTAGATTTAAATGATTTTTTGGTTTTGTTTTGTAATGTAGGTGAAAGGACATGTTTAAGTTTTTGGGAAAGTTCAGTTGTATGGCCCGCTCATTTCTTAATACTGGACAAATAAAGTAAGTTTTCTGAAATCTGTCCTGGGCTTCCTCCTGTTCCCTATCAGGCAGATCTCACCCCCACTCCCCGCTGCCCCCCACTGTCCCCACCCAATGCTTCTTGGCCCCTACCTTCCATCCACACCCCTAGACACTCAAACTTGCCTTCCGTTTGTGGGCCAGGGGGAGGAGGGTGGTCAAGATGGAACAGCGCGGGGTGCCTGGGTGGCTCAGTCGGTTAGCATCCGACTCTTTTTTTTTTTTTTAAAGATTTTTATTTATTTATTTGAGAGAGAGAATGAGAGAGAGAGCACACATGAGAGAGGGGGCAGGGTCAGAGGAAGAAGCAGACTCCCTGCCGAGCAGGGAGCCCGATGCGGGACTCGATCCAGGGACTCCAGGATCATGACCTGAGCCGAAGGCAGTCGCTTAACCAACTGAGCCACCCAGGCGCCCAAGCATCTGACTCTTGATTTCAGCTCAAGTCATGATCTCAGGGTCGTGAGATCAAGCCCTGCATCACGCTCCAGGCTCCGGGCTCCACACTCAGTGTGGGATTCTCTCTCTCCCTCTCTCTCTGCCCCTCTCCCTGCTCTCTCTCTCTCAAAAAAAAAAAAAAAAAAAAGGATGGAACAGCAATACCTGAATCTGGAAGGTCAGGATCTGGTTCCATATTGGGTTCTCGGTCTGGGTCAGCACATTTGTCTTGAGCTAGGAACATCCCAGAGCAGTGTTGGTGCCAGCCTGCCCCCTGCTCCCTCCACTGACCTCACCTTCCAGCCCAGCCCACAGATGGATGCTGTCTCTGGCACAGGGCTGACCATGGGAATGGTCTAAAGACATTTTGACAACTTTTCAGCTACAACTTCAGTCCTTTGTATATCTGCCCAGATCCAGATTCCCTATTTGTTTTTAAATCATCTTTCAATTGACTTTGTTCTTAAATGGTCCTAGGGTTATTAACTTTAGTATATGAGTGCATACACATAGATTTTGTTAGATAAACTCTATGATCCCAACAGAAAAGTGAGCAAAAACCATGTCGGCTATGGTAGTACACAATGGCATACCCCTTCCCAAAGCATCGCTTGACTTCGTTTTTAAACCTGGCTCTATTCTAAGCAATCATGTCAGTGAAATCGAGGGTTGGTTGGACTGGTTAAACTTTTTAATACATACTAGAAAACCACAGAGATATTAAAATTTTTGAAAATTGTGTGCCACCTACCACCCAAGAGCATCTCACCAAACCTGGAGCACCCAAACCACCTTCAGTGTGGTGGTTTTAAATATGTCCACAAATCCTTTGGTACAGCTTCCTTTGAAAGGTAGACACTAATCTTCCTCCCTTTATGTGTGGGTTGGATTTAATGATGCTTCTAATAGGTAGAATATGGTGGAAACAATGGTTTATGAGTTCTGAGACAAACCTACTTAACTTTAACCCAGCATTCCCCAAATTTGAACATAGGATCCTTTTTTTTTTGCACGGAACATCCATCAGCACACTTTGGAAAATGCTACTCTCTATTAATGGAGGATCATGGAATGTCAGCAACTCTCTTGCCCAGAACCTTCAATTTCTAGATGAAGAATCCCAGGCCCGAAGAAGACAGTGATTGTTTCAGCATTGTTTGTTTGCGGGCATGTTGTTTCATTCACTCATGCATACCCTTTGTATACATTAGGCTTTCAGTGGGCACCTGCTCTCCAAGCAGGGCTCTGTGCGTGGCTCTGGGAGACAGGGTGACTGGCCACAGCCTCCACCTTCACAGACTTCCTGGTCCAGTGGGGCCATGGCCCACTGATGGGGGAACTGACATCCGAATCCAGGGGTCCTGCCCACCAACTCCAGCCTTCCCCACACACTATCTAGGTGACAATTTCTCGAACCCTCAGACCCTTTCTACACTTACCTTTTCCCCAATTAGCTCCACCTCCAACATAGGACTCACTAAGTGCTGTTTCTCTGTGAACAAGAAGTTACAAGATTTCTGAGACAGCAGCATTTTTTTTTAAGGGGAGGACATGTAGAGGTGAGGTGACAGAATGACTGTCACACCCCTCTGCCATCATCTGGTGTGGTGCCCCCCCACACCCAGGCAGACCTCCCCCATCTCCACGCTATGTGTCATGGCCCATAATGGCAGCGAGGGTGGGCACTGGCATAGGGAACCGGGAGTCTGCATCCAGACATCAAAGACAGGTCAGGGGCATGTGACCCATTTTAAAGAGTATCTACGGGGTCTTCATGAAACAAATCTTGGTGGATTTCAGTCTCGTCCTCTCCCCCGCACACCCTGAATCTTAGGTTCGCATCAAAATGGAACAGGGAAGCCCCATGAGAATCCAGGGTGCCACTGTGTAGGGAACCTCAGGGTCACTCCCCATCCCCCATCCTGACTCTAACTGAGATGAAGGTCCTCTGCGCAGTAGATGAAGAACTGTAAGTAGGCCATGTTGATCGGGACCACCGTTGACTTGAAGATCTGAGTAGTGGGGTCATCAGCCCCATAGGGCAGCTTTTGATCTACCTGCAGAGACCAGAGACCCGACAGGGTAGAGTCATAGGATGGTCATGGCCATGGCCACCAGATTTGGCTTCCCGGCCTTCCACTTGGTAGCAGGGAGGGATGGACAACCCTCAAGTGACACAGCAGGCAAATAAAAGCATGTGAAGATCAGTGGCCACTCTGAGGGCCAGGGGCACCCTACGAAAGCAGCCACAGTAAGAAATGTTGTTGGGGTGTCGGGGGCAACCTCACCAGAGCCTGGTCTCCCACACCGAGGACACAGATGGTGACTTTCAGGTAGCCTCTCACACCACTGCTGGGTTCATTCGGCTGGCAGAGGCCTAACCATTTCCTCATGAGTGTGTGACCTGAAGGGGCAGAAGGCCCATGGGAGACCGGCCTCCAGTCTCCATCCTTCTTCCCTGAAACCAGTCTTAGTTTCTGTGGGAGAGGGGTGTGGAAATGGGTTTCATAGGGCCCCTGGGTGGCTCAGTTGGTTAAGCGACTGCCTTCGGCTCAGTCATGATCCTGGAGTCCCGGGATCGAGTCCCGCATCGGGCTCCCTGCTCAGCGGGGAGTCTGCTTCTCCCTCTTAACTCTGCCCCCTCTTGGGCTCTCTCTCTCTCTCTCAAATAAATAAATAAAAAAAAAATCTTAAAAAAAAAAAAAAGAAATGGGTCTCATATATTCTGGTTCCCATACAGTAGCAGAGGAAAATGGGAGTCACTCCTACCAGTAAGCAAAGCTAATACACTCAGCAGGCTGTCAGCCATTGCCTTTAGGAAAGAGAGAACCCTCTTCCCCATCCTGGGAACTCACAGTTGTTGTTACTCTCCTGGTCTGAGAAAGGCAAGCATTTTACCCAACCCTAAGCTCCAACCTTAACCTGCTATGTATGTTATGGCCAGATCGTATGTTATGCTTACAGTGGAAACCTCTACTCAAATGCTAGTTTCGGAATACTGGCCTCAAAAAATAGAAATTCAAACCAAGGCTGTAATAAAAGTTCAGCATTTGACCCAAAGGGATGCCTTGAGTTTTGAAGAGAAAGATGTTATCATTATAAATATTACCAAATACAGAAAATAATTCATACCCTCTAATAGTTTCCCCTCGTGTGCTGAACATACAGGGATTTTGAAATATGTGGACAACTGGCCTGCTTTTTTTCAGAAAGCACACTCATTTGCAACAACTGATACCTACCTGGAGAATGGTAGATAAACCCAATATCTGTCTGAAAAGACAAGAGTAGAGTAAGGATTAGTTAGGGCCTCTGGCCAAGATGAGCAATATCAACAAACAATAGTACTGTACTGACAGTATTAGCCACCAATGCTTGAGAATTTGCCCTGCTCTAACTCCTTTACTCTTTACAACAGCCTACATGTGGTTATTTATCACCTCCACTCTGCAGAGGAGGAGACTCTGAGAGAAGTGCCTAAAGTCTTAAACTAGTAAGTGAGGAGGTCTGGATTGAAAGGATTCTCAGCCACCGCACAGCACTACCTGGCCAACACAGCGTTGATTCTTCCCTGGGTTGGGAAGGGTGTCTCCCATCCTGGGGAAGAGGCTGGTCAAGCGAGAGGCTTTCCCTTTCCCTTGGGAGAAGGTTTCTGCCTGAGGCCTGAGGGATGTGGTACAGGACTGAAGGTGGCATGGGGCAAGGCACTGTGGTATATTCAGGTCACCCTTGTATTCCACATCTGAAGGTTCCATAGAGCAGTCCCCAGATTCTGCATGTTAGGCCTGTTTTAAAACTCAGTCACCCCTTTGGTTAGGTAGGCCAAGATTTCTTAGCTACAACAACAAAAGCACAATCTATAAAAGTACAGTTTGATGAAGTGGACTCCAGTGAAATGTAAAACTTCTGTTCTTTGAAAAACACTCAAGAAAATTGAAAGACCAATCATATACTGGGAGAAAATATTTCCAAGTCATATATCTGATAAAAGGACTTGTATCCTGAATATATAAGAAAATCTCAAAACTGAGTAGTAAGAAAATGACCCAGTGAAAATGAGTAAAAGATTTGAAGATTTGTTTATTTAATTTTGAGAGAGAGAGCGAGTAGGGGGAAGGGCAGAGGGAGAGAATCTATCAAGCAGACTCCTGGCTGAGCAAGGAGCTGGATGTGGCGCTCGATCCCACACCCATGAGATCATGACCTGGGTCAAAAGAGTCAGATACTTAACGGACTGAGCCACCCAGGCGCCCCAAATGAGCAAAAGATTTGAACAGACACAACCCTGAGATCATGACCTGAGCTGAAATCAACAGTCTGGCGCTCAACAGACTGAGCCACCCAGGCACCCTTCATGTCTATAACTTATTTAACAGTTCATATCACTGGTCACTGTCGGGAAATTGTGCAGTGGTCTCTGTCGAAAGTACAACATTTTTTACCTCCTGCCACCTAACCTTTCAGGAATCTCTCAATCTCTAAGCCTATGCTGCTTTTTAAAAAAAAATCTTTTATTAATTTATTTGAGAGAGAGAGAGAGAGTGCACAGAGGGAGAGGGAGAAGCAGACTCCCCGCTGAGCAGAGAGTTCCATGTGGGGCTTGATCCCAGGACTCCGAGATCATGACCTGAGCCGGAGGCAGACGCTTAACCCACTGAGCCACCCAGGTGCCCTGCCTATGCTGCTTCTTTAAGGGACAAGTCATGACTCTTCATGTGCGTATTACAAGTTGTGAGAAAGAAACCTTACTTTGATTTGTCCTAAATGTGCCTTTCCCAAGGTGGAAGCCTTTTTCCAGGGGTTGCCAGATTTGGCAAATAAAAATACAGATGCCCACTTAAGTTAGAATTGCAGATAAATGAGGACTTCATTTTTAGTATACGTATGTCCCCTGCAATATTTCATGAGGAGCCATGCAATATTTGAGGCATCCTTGTATTTAAAAAGTATCTGTTGTTTAAGCTTCAAATGTAATAGAGCATTCTGTATTTAATCTGGCAACCCTACCTTTTCCCAATCTTCCTGGATTTGGAGAATCTTTTTTAGCCCTTCATGACTGTGTCAGCTTTCCTCATCTCTCAGCCTGTGTCTTTCCAAAGCAAACATTTTTATTCTATTCTCATAGGCAGCAATTTTCTCTGTGTTTCTCTGCCTTTTTGGATCTTCTGCTTCCATTTCCTGGAGGCAGAGATCTGAAGTGTGTCCATAGTATTATAAGTTCGGGGAATTCAACATGGCACATAAATGGTACACACTTTCATCGTTACAATGACTCTGATTTGAGTATATCATTATTCCCATTGTACAGATAAGGAAGTAGAGGTTCTGAATAACTTGTTTAAGTCAACCCAGTTGGTAGGTGGATCCAAATCTGGATATTTCTGCATGAAAATTCAAGTTTTTGCCCCTAAGCTCAGGCATGGAGCCCACGGTAGGTCTCTGTTTCACCAAACCTCCTCCTTCATCCAGGACTCACTTGGAATCTCCCGATCTCTGAGTTGAATCTCAACAGTGTGGAATTCATCACCTGCAGAAAGATCTCAGTTATTCACATCCCCCATTTCTCCCACCCCCATGGGAGGAACTGTAAGGGCACATTAGGGATTCTCCAGGATCTACTCAATACTTCCTAGTGGCCCACGCTACCACATAGGTTTTCTCATTTAATTCTCAGAGGTACCCTATGAGATTCAGAATTTTAGTTCCATTTTACTGATGAGGAGGTTGATCAGACAGTTCAATTCATTTGATGAACCCAAAGGTCAGCCCAAAGCAAAGTGTTGCACTCAACTTTCTCCATGGCATGCTGTCCTGATTGTTTCCCATGGGCCTGTGTTCCCAAGAACATGTACACTCTTCAAGGGGGAGGCCTTGTTCTCCTTAGCCCTGTGCTGGGCATATAGGAGGTACCAGATAAACACGTTCATTGCTGTTACTGGGCTCCCTCTGGTTGGGGAATGGAATGTCTCATGTTGAGGGCACATGTGAGGGGTCCTTTGGTGGCATGACAATCCTGGCACATGAGAAGGGGCTGTTTTCTTCAACTCAGGGCCCAGCTCAGGGCCTAACAGTTGGCATTCCATAAGATTTGCTAAATGAATGAATGGGGAGTCTGGGTTGCCAGAGTGTGATAAAGGCAGTGGAGGATATGCCTTGGGGTCAGAAGGACCATCTGAAGTGACTGGCTATAAGGGAGGGGTGAGGGGCTGAAGTCTTTCCCAGAATTGAGGCGGGACAAGAAAGTGGGCCCATCTTGTTTGGCTCCTCACCTGGATTAAGATGGTCTCATCAAATAACTTAGCAGGCACCTCATAAAAATTCTGGAAGAAGATCTGAAGCAGAGAGAATGGGGGTAGGGGTTGGATGATATTCCTTCCACCACTTCACCCAGGGACTCAGTAGGCCTGAAGGCTCAGAAGAGCATGCTTCTTCCCCAGCTCTTGCCCATTTCATGCTCATGCTCCTCCTCCAGAAACAGAGGCTTGTCTGGCTCCTGGAGGGTGTTCTGCCAGGGTAAAGGGCAGGGGCAGGGGATCCCAGGAGCATCTGTCAAGAGTGGCTCAAGGCCCAGCTAGCTGCCCTGGGATGGAGTCCCGAGCCTCTGCCTCCTTCTAGAGTGCCCTGTCAGTCCACTGCATCCCCAGCCCCTGCTGCAGCCAGAATCCTCTTTCCTAAATGCAAACCTGGCCCTATCACTCTCCTGCTTAACTCCCTCCGTGGCTCCCAAGTGCCATCTGTGACAGGGGCCCAGAGCATTTTGCAGCCTTCCCTCCAGCCACAGCCACATCTACAATTCTGCCAAGTCCTGCCGCTTCTTGTTTCTAGGCTTCTGAAGACACTATTGCTTTTTTCTGAATTTTCTTTCTCCACGATGTCCCTCTTTCCCTGGTAGACTCTTCCTTCAAGGTTTCGGGAGCCCTTCCTGAGTCCCCCCATTCCTCCCTACTCTCATTGTGCTTTTATCTTTTTATTTATTGGCCTCTTTACCAATTAATTCAGTGAGTATTTATGGACTTCCAACTGTGATCAGACACAACGCTATAGCTTAGTGCTTCAGCAGTAACAAGATGTAATGGTCTGGGCCTGCATTTCACAGCTGCATTAACAGCACCTCCAGATCTCTGTTAACCCCAGTCTTGCACCATTGTCATTGTCTATGTGTTCACAGGCCAATCCCGCCCCCCCAACAGACTACTGGTTCCTCCAATGGGAGGTTTCAACTGATTTTGTCTCTATTCCCAGTGCCAAGCCGTGCTTGGCTTTCTGTAGGCGCTCAGCCAATGTTTGTGGAAGAAGCAAGCTTACCTGATGGCTGCAGGTAATGCCCAGCCCCTGGCTAGCCCCTGGCTGGCCCCCTTGGCCCAACTGCCCCGTTCAGTTCTGAAGGGCACGTGCAGCCCACCTCATTGAAGAAAGGGTTGTTTCCCATCTTGATCCGTGTGTTGTGCTGGTGGCCTCCGATGACCACCTTCACCATCGGCTTGATGTTGTTGCCCATGAGCTGTCGGGCTTCAAACACCTTCACTCGGACCTACAGCAGGGGAACACAGGAGCACCTGAGGTTGTGGCCCGGGCCCCCTTCTCCAACAGGGACTCTTCTCTAAAAGAACAAAGTGTTCTGACAACAGGCATCTACTGGGGATGGGAGGAGAACCACAGGGAGCTGGACTTCGCCTGCCTGAAGCTAAGTCTTAGGAAGGCCATGGCTCCTCCTGTTTCCTCTTCTGGGAACTGTCCCCTCCACTGCTTTGTCCTTTTCGTCTTGTGTAGACTCAGTGTTTCTCAATTGCAATGGGCTTATTACAGAATACAGAAATGAAATCTAATCTTTCCCAGTTTTTTGTTTGTTTGTTTTGTTTTTACTTTTATCTACAATCTTTTTAGAGAACTGAGAATTTTTTAAAGTTCCATGCCATTGAATCTCTGATCTGTGATTTGCTCTCTGATTTGTGATTTCTTCTTCCCCTTTCTATACTTTACTGGGGCTTCAGTAAAGGGGCTATGACATCTGAGCCTAGAACTAGAAGGCGGGAGGGAAGATCAATGCAGAGCCCGGGAGAGACCCCGGCCAGCTGAGGCCCGGGGGGAGAAAGAATGAAGATGGCCGTGGCTAGGAGGGCCCAGGTGTGGGAGCTTGTCATCTGATTGTGGGTAGTAAACAACATCCGGCTCTCCTAGCCCAGGCTGTGGCTCGGCCTTTCTCCATGAGGCCTCCTATGTCTCCAGCAAGTCCAGCGACCCTTTAGGGATCGATACGCATGCAGCTACTGGACCCTCAGATACAAGAGTGGGCCAAACCAGGCAAACAGGTTGCACGTCAGGATTTTGCCCTAACCTCTAGGACAGAGGAGGAGCAGTGATTTGGGCACGATGACCCTCTATCCTGGGCAAACTAGCCTGATGAAAAGGGATGGGGCCCAGAGGGAGAGGAAAGGAAGGCACTCCAAAGGAGGAACAGCATGTGCAAAGGCCTGGCAGCTAGAGAGAGAGGCTTGAGAATGGGGACTGCAAGGTGTCCAGGATGCTAGAACAGGGTGGGGAAAGGCGGGGGCAGGAGACAGAGTGGCTTGCAGAGATACGTTTGTGTTATCAAGGGCCTAGGGAGCTATTGGAAGGAGTTCGGGTTTTGTCCTGAGGACATTTGAGCATCCTAATTTTTAAAAATTTATTTTTCATTTTATTTTATATTTTAAAATTAAAGTACAGTTGACACACGATGTGACATTAGTTTTAGGCCTACAACATAGTGATCTGACAACTAGATATTATACTACTATGCTTACCACAAGTGTAGCTACCATTTATCACGGATATCCTCATTTTTAAAAGACATTTTTAAGCAGGTGCATGGCATGGTACGAATGACATCTTTGAAAGACCACTTTGACTGAAGGATGGACAGGAGAGAGCTGGAGGCTGGGAGTTCAGGAAGAGCCTATGAGGTGGTCCAGGGAAGTGACGGTGCTGGCTCAGGCTAGGGAAGTGAAGTGGTGATGGAGAGGTGGGGAGCAGTTGGGTGGTATTAAGAGCTAGGACTTGGCCATTGACTGGATGCAGGGGGGAGGGTGAGGAAGAAGGCAGTCAAGAATGACATCTAGTCTCGGGCGCCTGGGTGGCTCAGTTGGTTAAGTGACTGCCTTCGGCTCAGGTCATGATCCTGGAGTCCCGGGATCGAGTCCCGCATCGGGCTCCCTGCTCGGCAAGGAGTCTGCTTCTCCCTCTGACCCTCTTCCCTCTCGTGCTCTCTATCTCGCATTCTCTCTCTCTCAAATAAATAAATAAAATCTTTAAAAAAAAAATTAAAAAAAAAAAAGAATGACATCCAATCTCTTGGGCAGGTGTTAGGCTGGAGAGCAGGTGAAACCATAGTAGAAATCTTAGGTTACAAGTTACAGATCAGAGGGAAGTTGGTGAGCCATGGGATGAGGGTTCCAGAAGTCATAGCGGGAACTCTCCTCAGCCCTTCCCCATACAGCTCATTTTGCCATGAACATGGCTAGCCTTGTGTTGCCAACAATCCCGAGGACTCCAGGCCTTTTGCTCTGCCTCCCCAGCACTTGCCAGGGCCTGTTGGTATACATACAGCCAACAGCGCCTCCTATTGCCGCAGCAGAGCTGTCTCTAGCTTCAGCTTCCTGCAGAAGGGGCTCAGAATGACCCCGGAGGAGCATGGGAGGCAGTGAGGCTCTGAGGACCTGTAGCTCTGGCCCTCTGCCATGACCTTATGGAGAGACGGGGACCGCCTGGGATCACAGTGAGAGTGTCAGGTGAATCAGCCCAGAATCCTCACCTGAAAGTGCTGAGGCTTCGAGGTCAGAGCCGTGGGCATGGTGGAGTTGGGTAACATCAGTTTCTGCCTGGCGGCCTCTCCTGCACTTGGGCCCAGGATGTCGCCATTGCCTGAGGAAACACAATCTGGGTGGGCCTTCAGAGGCTGGGGCTCAGGAGGCTTTGAGGCATTACACCCATTTCATTGTTCCATCCCCAGTGACTAGCTTCTGACTAAAACCATGGCCCAGAAGTCCTGAAAGGGGCACATATCCTTCCCAGAACATTCTCATGGGAACCTCCTCTTATCCTCAGTAACCCTGGGCCCCACACTCTACATGTGGCGGCTCTTGGAAATGGCCATCCTTGCTTCCCTCTGCAGCCCACTGGAGGCTGGGCCTTATGTCTAGAGATGACAAGTGGAAATATTGGGGGATATATATATATATATATATATATATATATATAAAACCTCAGCTAGGTGTCTGGAGATCTGGCTTCTAGATCCTAACCTGGTCACAGTCCTTCTGTAGGCCTCAAGGGATGGGTCACAAAGGTCCCAAAGAGCCCATCCAGCTATGTTTGGAGAAGAACAGGGGTAAACCCTGAGGACATACCTATCTTCGACATATCCTGGTATCTCACAAGGGTCACCTGGAGGGTGACGGTGCACTGCAAGGCAAAGGCAGAGGGGGGCTGTAAGCCAGATCTTGCAATCCTTGGCCAAGTCATAACACTGGAACCTCGCCCAACCTGGCCAGGTTCATGCCCAGTTCCCCTGTGCAGAGCGATGCTGGCCATGGGACCTGTGAAGTCTTGGGTGGAGGGAGGTTATAAACTGCAGGGAGAGAGCAATGGGTTATAGCGGAGGGAATTTGGAGACTAGAGGAGGCATGTGGCAGTGGTGGTGACAAGGGGCTACAGCAGGGTGGGGAGGAGAGGGAGAGGTGCCTTGGGACCAGCCCAGAACCGCTGATGCCAACAGCTCTTCTCCTAGCCCAACATCTCCTGACCTCAGGTGGGGACTCCTGCAAATACCTCTTAATTGACCTCCTGCCTCCAAGTGCTCTGACTACCCATCCTACCTCTAGACCATCGCCAGAATTGCCCCCTAAAAATGCCCTAACCGATCAGAGTGAAGTCACAGCTCACCAGCATAGACCATAAGGCCCCTGGTCTCAGCTAGTCTCAGCTCTCCCACCACCCCCTTCGCATCCTCCCGACCCCCATGTGCCAGCAGTGCAGCAGCCCACCCTCCCCAAACCTGCTGCCTGCCTCTCTCTCCCTCCAGCCTTCACACATGCACCTTACTTACACCCTTGCCTGGGATTCTCTTCCTTTCCTGTCCGTGGGGCAAACTCATGCCTACTGAGAAACTGAATAAACAAATGGACAGCAACCAGATCTTACGTAAAAATGGAACTCTGACCTACAATCTGAAGCAATCGATTCAGGAAACCAGCCCAATAAATCTGCAGTAACCCGCCCAGGAAGCCAGCCTGCTCTAAGTAAGCCTTGTAGGAAGTCAGAGTTCTCTTCTAGCAACCACACAATAGCCCCATCACAATTGGCCCCAAATTGTCAGGACTTGATTCATAACTGACAGCTTCCCTAATTTTTGTCCCTTCTTCCCACTTAGGACCAGCCAGAGAAAGCCAAATACACACCCCTAATCAATCACATAGGATGCCTGGCTTCCAGTTGGTTCACTTATAGCTTCCCCTGACCAACAGCCTCTAATCAGGGCACACTGGGAGGCTTCCCTGCTTCCGCTGTACAGCTTTACCCCTCCTCTGTCTGCCTTTGAGTCTCTGCCAAAATGCAAGTGATGGTGGCCGATGCCCTTGCTCTAGCCAGCTCTGCATAAATAGCCTTTGCTTATTCTCCTTTGGTTGGTCTTTGCTTGTTTCCATTTATCTTAATCATGTCCTCTACAAAGCCTTCTGTGACCTCCCACACGGAATCATTCACTTCGTCCTGTCTTCAGTGACCTAGCCTTCCTGCCCCTTGTGCTGGAGCACTTGTCACTGTGAGTGATGCCTACTCCAATGGACATGCGCTTCATTCAGTTTTGTATCTCAGGCCTAACACAGCTGCTGTCATCCAGTGGACAATTGACGAAATAATCAATCTAAAAGGATGGATGTAGGGGTGGGAGGAAGGGTGGGTGGGTGGAGGGATGGCGGGATGGGGAGGTCAGGGAGATGATAGCAGTGTGATAGGGCCTCCTAGGGCAGGAAGTGCTCTCTGGTGGGGGCACTGGGCCTCTGCTAAAATGGAGTAGCCCAACTTCACCGGCTGCCCCCATTCTCCAGCCATCCTTCCTGGGGCCCAACTCACATCTGTGGACATCATGAGATGGTTAAGCAGGTTCAGGTCCTTCACGAGAAGGACCTCACTCGGTTTTTTCACCAAGGGCTGGAGCAGTATTGTGGCCAGGCCAATGAACCTGGGGAGACAAGGAGCATGTATGAGATCCAGAGTCAGGGGACAGAGTGTTTTCTGTCCCAGGCATGACTTTATCTAGAGAGGGTTTTCTCTCCTACAGCCTGTGCCGTCCACAGAGAGAGGCTGTAGGAAGGAGGCAGTGATGTGGAGAACCCACCAGAGGACATAGGGCTCTCACGTCTCTGAGAACTGACTTTGGGGCTATGAGCAGTGGGTGCCCCAGTTAGTGGCTCTGCCCTGCTCAGCTCCTTCTCAGAAGTTCTGCTCCCACACTCCTCCTGAATGGGAACAGTGCCAAGTAACAGCTGATTGGACCAGGGGCTGGACACCTGATGGAAGCTGGGCCAATCAGAGTCTCCGTCCTAGGAATTTTGACTTGGGAGGCCATAGGTTCAGTCTCAGTGGGTGTTGGTCCCTGCTGGGCACTAGAATGGGGCCACAATAGGAAGCCAGGATTGGGCAGAGAGAAGCAGAGATTTGAGATCCTGTGGTTTCAGGATCTGCAGAACTGTCCCTGCCTTCTCAGGTTCCTGATTCTGGTCTCTCTGCACTCTCAGCCTCACCACCCTCCCATAAATCCCCCACCTTTTTTTTTTTTTTTTTTTTTTTGGTCCCATTAGCTGGCTGGAGTGGGTTCTGGTCCTTGCACCCTGAGTTATGGATTCAAGCCAGGAGATGCGGCCTGTGCTGTTGCTTTGGTCAGAGAGCCAGCCTCCTGCCTTTCTCTGCCTCACCTGTCTTTCTTTGCTGCGCCCATGTCCCGAAGGATGATTTGCAGAAAAGAGTCATTTTGTAGGGGGTGGTCCCAGAGGTACCAGATCAGGGTCTGTGGGAGGCACAGAGAGATCAGCATCCTTCCTCCACCCTCCCCTTCCCATCCTTCTAGAAAATGGGGAAAGATGCAGGGAACGGGCTGGCCCTGTGTTTCTCTTGAACTAAGGAACCTCTCTTAAGTCTAGTTTCCTAAGAGGATGGCATTAGCTACCTTTCACCAAGGTGCTGAGCATCCTACCCGGGCTCTGCAGTGTAACTGCAATATCATGGGTGTGTCAGGAGTGAAGGGGTATGGGGACCCGGGGTGGCGGTGGGGGACATGGATGGATGGAAGAGGAGAGGGATGGATCCTACACAGGGAATCCTGCCTCTGCTTCACGTTTCTGGGAACATCAGGATGGCCAGGTTGGACAAGATGGCCATATCACGGTCCATCCTCAGAGTGGAGGAGAAGGGCCAAGAACAGCTATGGGCCCTCAGGCCCGCACAGCCGTATCAGCTCAGGGGCTACCCCCAGTCCAGACGCCCTGGACTTGGGGAAAGCTTGTGTCGCTCCCTGTCCTCTCCCTAGAATTCTGAGCATGGCCAGGACCCAACCTCCCTCTTAGGGTTGTCATTGCTTCTTTTGGGTTTGTCCTGTTGAGTTTTACCTCATTCCATGTGGGGTTATTCCCTTCTGCTTCATGAGTTCTCTTCTTGATATCTGCAAAGATACCAAGGGACAGTTATTGGTGGCAGGAAATATTTCAAAGTCTAGGTTTAAGTGTGGTAAAGAGGTAGGACTCCAAGAACACTTCAAGTCTATGTTGGCAGATGTGATATGGCACGGATTCTTACTCTGGGGGGTTTCAAAATTTCTCACTTTTTGTAAGAGTAACATCATCCCATGTGACAGATGATGTGTTCACTTCATTTTCTTCCTTGGAACATAGTTCCTAGCCATCTTGCAGCCAGGTGGTGCCTTGTGACTCGTTCTGGCCAATGCAGCATGGGAGCGATTTTTACCACTGCCACAACTGGCTCCTAAAATCTCCCATGACGTTCTTCCTCTCCCCACTCCGCAAATCCATCCTTACCATCTGCGGGCAGGGTGGTGCCAGGATGACTTTGCAGCCACAAGCAGCAAGCAGCTGGTCCGTAAACCACTGCTTGGAGGAGCCACTCAGGATTGCTGCCCCCCCCTTGATGCAGGACTTGGGTGTGAGCAAGAGGTAAACTTTTATTGTATTAAGGCACTGAGATCTAAAGGTTTATTTGTTACCAGAGCAAAGCCTAGTGGACCCTAAGACATGCCAAAACATCTCTAATGGGTTAAAAGTTCTTCATCCGCTAAAATTCCCCTCCTCCAGAAACATCTTTAACAAAGAACAGCTCATAGCCCTGCAAAGAACCTTTAAATTGCTAAATTACTTTGAGATTCTTCCCAAGGAAAGAATGTATGAAAGAGGGGGAGACAGTGTGTGTGCAAGCATGCACCTGTTGGGTAGTCGGAAGGGGTGCAGTGTAGTGGACGGTATAGGGGGGAAGAGGGGCTCAGAGAGGGGAAAAGGGAATAAAAAATATTAAACAAACATACAGTTATTAAGAATTTATAGGTAAATTTGTGAGCAAACCCAGGAGTCTGGGACTTAGGCATCTTTGTAAGAGGTATTTCTGGGAGGAGAAAGATCACGTCCACCGGATGGTGGGAAAGAAGGCTCAGAATCAGGCTGTCCCCTGGCTCATGGCAAAGACACACTGAACGTCCACTATGCCTGTCTACACCTGTGCCTGGGGACGTAAACGCATATGGATTGTCCTGTGAGCCCGGAGTCCCAAATGTCCACTCTCCGAGGGGTGTTGTCACGTTCAGTGAGCACAGTTTCACGAACCAGAAAAAGACTTAAGGACTTCATTCTTTACTCACATCTATTATAGAAACAACTGTGCCTTCTTTCTCTTGACCCCGATTTTCTCACTCCCCGCACATGCTGGGAAACCTCATTTGCCCATATCCACCAGCAGACAGACTGTCCATTTCTCTTGCCCTTCTTCCCTTCCTGCTCCCAGCTCTGTGTTGTGTAGACACGCTTAATCTCTTTTGTGTTGCCTCCTAAATCCTCTCACCAACGCCCCCCCCCCCCCCCCCCCCCCCCGCCAACCTTCTTGGACATTTTTCCTTACCTATAAAAAATGGAGACAATAAATCTTGCCTCATTTGCCTCATGGGATTGTTGTGAGGAGCAAAAATCGTTATGTTTATGAAAAGGCTTTGTTGGTTGTAAAAGTCACTCATTAGGATTGAACAGTTACTACTGGAGGTTGTATGAGAGCTGTACATATATTGTCTCTTAAAATCCTCACATCAAGCCTATGAAGCAGGTTTTTTTTTTTTTTTTAAACCTCAATGTGGGGCACAGTCCTAGTTCACAGAAGCGGCTCGGGAAGTATTAACCTTCTCTTTTTCCCCGTAGCCATTCCCCTGGGAAAAAATGGGAGGCAGAGATGTCATAATAGGAGAAATAATGGCAATAAAGCTAAGTTTCGAAAGAACCGGATGATGTCTACCCTGCCTTTCTGCCACACAGGGCATCTTTTACAGAGGAGGGCCCCCATGAGTCTATTTTTTCACCAAATACATGTTGCCTCTCCGGGCTCGTCTCTCCCATCCCGGAGCCTGGTTCTCACCTCGGAAGTAGGCAGACACGCAGGGTCTGGGTGGGGGGCTGAGGGCCGGGTTAATCGTGGCTGACTCCACCACAAGCCGCAGCATGTCCACCCCCTACTTCCCTCCTTTTCTCTGCAGCGGAGCCTCCTTCTTGGAGCACCTTGGTCCAACGTTCTCCCAGGGCTCACGGGGTGAGGAGAGCCCCAGGCCTGTTGCTTAGCGGTAGAGGTGATGTCACAAAGGTGGGAAGTTCTTGGTTCTGGAGAGGAATGGAGGGGAAGGACAGGAGGAAGTCACAAGGAGTACGAAGCCAGTGGCTTGAGGTGCCTAGGCCTGTACAAACAAAATGATTTGGCTGCTTGGCGTTTCCTCTTTTTCTTTCTCTCCTATTCTCGCTGTCCCTCTGATCTCATGATCAGGTATAAGGGTAGTGTTTCCTCTTTATATAAATAAGCAAGTTATCTGGAGTGAATCATTGCCAAAGTCCCACAATTTAGATGGGAAAATAAGAGAAGTGAGGTGATATGGGAAAAGGAATAGGTAAATCAAAGACCATTTCAAGGACAATTCAGGAGAAGCCCTTCCTAATGCATAAGCAAATATGTAGGCCTCTTTTTTTTTTTTTAAAGATTTATTTGTTTATTTGAGAGAGAGAGCAGGGGAGAGGGGCAGAAGGAGAGAGAGAATCTTAAGCAGACTTTCGGCTGAGCTTGGAGCCTGACACAGGGCTCAATCTCACGATCCTGAGATCATGACCTGAGCTGAGATCAGGAGTTGGACACTTAACCAACTGAGCTCCCCAGGCTCCCCAAGCCTCCTTTTTCTAAAGGGAGCCTAAGTCCAGATATGAGTCTGTCTTTAACAAAGGGAAATGAGCTTTTTAATTAATGAGCTTTTATGCCAGCTGATTTTAAGGTTAAAAAAAAATCTCAAGGTCAATACAATTTTGCTGTGGCATCTTGACTGCTCTCAAGGCCTCTCGTCATGAGGATGGAGCTGGGTCATTTGCTCTTGTCTTGTCCACATTAAGCCTTTTTCTGCTTCAGGTTTGAATACTGTATAAATTACATCTTATCCAATAGCAGGAAGATTAATGGATGTTTTAAAAATGTGTCTTAGTTGATGAAACAATTGAATAGTAAGCTTACTGTGCCTTTTTTTTAAGATTTTATTTGAGAGAGACAGAGAGAGTGAGAGCATAAGCAGAGTGAGGAGCAGAGGGAGAACCAGATTCCCCACTGAGCAGGGAGCCCGATGCAGGACCCGAACCCAGGACCATGGGATCATGACCTGAGCCAAAACCAAGAGTTGGACACTCAACCAGTGGTGCCACACAGGCTCCCCTAAGATTTTTTTTTTTTAAAGTTAACTCTACATCCAGCATGGGGCTTGAACTCACAACCCCGAGATCAAGAGTTGCATGCTCCACCAACTGAGCCAGCCAGGTGCCCCTACCATGAGCTTTTATAATTTAGTAAGAAGAAGATGAATACTCCCAAGGAAGATAAGGGAAAGTTTATAACAGGTGATAGCCCAAATGGACAAACAAAATGATGTGAAAAAAAATTCAGTCTCTTTAATAATCAAAGAAACTCCGTGAGATACCATTTATCACTTTGCCGAATTGGATTCAAGAGCCAAAAAAATAAAAAATAAAAAAAGAGAGAAAGATGTAAAAAAAAAAAATTCAAGCCCGTTAATAAGCAAAGAAATGCAAGAAGATATCATTTATCACCTCCCAAATTAGAAAAAAAGGAAAAACAGTTAAGAGTGACATGCTGAGGAAGGAACGGGGGCAGAAGGAAGATACGAATCCCTACATAGCACTGATGGGAGAATAAATAGAAAAAGAGCAGAAGCCTGGCCTGGGATAAGTGCCAGGGAGAGAGAATAAACAGTGGGAGACAAGGGGCAGGCACTGCTCATTTTGGGTCATTTCTTCTAGTATTAACCTCTATGTTTCTAAATAGCATCCCTTGAATTTTTCAATTTGAGACACTGGCTATTAAGTCAGCTCTTACCCCATCCCTCACTCCTTCCTGCCTCCCAGTTTCTCTCTCCCCCAATTCCCCATTCATCACTTTCAGACATTGCTACTGCTGTTTATTATGCACGTGAGTTTAGCTTTCTCTCACTCTGCCTTTCCTGCATCCCTGCATCCTCTTCTCCCAATACAATCACCCCTCAGCTGGGGACTAAACCTACACCCAGTCTTTTCATTATTATGCTGATGTATATTGTTTCACTGAAGATCAAGGAATATACAGTTGACCTCTGAACAACATGAGCTTTTTTTTTCCCCCATGAAAAGAGTATTTGTTTTTTTTTAAATTTAGTGTTTCTTTTCTTTTTTTCTTTTTTAAAGATTTTATTTATTTATTTGAGAGAAAGAGTGAGAGAGAGAGCACGAGAGGGAAGAGGGTCAGAGGGAGAAGCAGACTCCCCGCCGAGCAGGGAGCCCAATGCGGGACTCGATCCCGGGACTCCAGGATCATGACCTGAGCTGAAGGAAGTTGCTTAACCAACTGAGCCACCCAGGCGCCCAAGAGTATTTTATTGTTTTTGTTCATACATGCCAGGTTTCAACTTTCAATAATAAAATTCAATAAATTTGATTCCTCAATCATAAAAACTTGCTTTACACATTATTTACATGTTGCCAAAGTCTACAGCCACACAAAACATCACAAGGATTTGACTCTATGCATGGTACCATCACACAGAAGGGAGCTGATCAAACAACATACATTCAAAGATTAAATTGAAGATAGGCACAGTGTATTTGGCACTGTTCATTAACATTATAACACCTTCCTCTGAGAAACAGGTATTCTTTTTTTTTTGAGAGAGAGAGAGAGACTGGGGGTGGAGGGGCAGAGAGAGAGAGAGAGAATCATAAGCAGGCTCCATGCCCAGCACGGAGCCTGATGCGGGGCTCAATCTCATGACCCTGAGATCAGGACCTGAGCTGAAGTCAAGAGTCAGCTCCTTAACCGACTATGCCACCCAGGCACACTGAGATAGGTACTCTTAAGCCACAATATACCAGAATTTTGCTATTCACATCAAAAGCAGCTTTCAAACTTTCTGGTAACAGTAATCAGTTTAAAGAAACAAGATACAACCAGAATTGGGAATGGAATTCAAACCTCCAACTTTTTGCTGTGCTCCAAGCTGCCATTCTTAAAGTCAGTTTAATTTGATGATTTTTCCATTGTGAACAACTTGGGTTTGAACTGCGTGGGTCCACTTGTACGTGGATTTTTTTCAATAAATACAGTGCCGTGGGCGCCTGGGTGGCTCAGATGGTTGTGTCTGCCTTCGGCTCGGGTTGTGATCCCAGGTTCCTGGGATCGAGTCCCGCATCAGGTTCCCTGCTCAGTGCAGAGCCTGCTTCTCCCTCTGTCTCTGCTTCCCTCTGCTTGTGCTCTTCTGTCTATCTCTCTGTCAAATAAATAAATAAAATCTTCAAAAAAAAGATTAAAAAAAAATACAGTGCCGTACTGTAAACTTATTTTCTCTTCCTTCTTATTTTCTTTCTTTCATTTTAAAAAATATTTATTTATTTATTTATTTGTCAGAGAGAGAGAGAGAGAGAGAGAGAACACAAGCAGGGGGAGCAGCAGGCAGAGGGAGAAGCAGACTCCCCGCTGATCAGGGAGCCCAATGAGGGAGCTTGATCCCAGGACCCTGGGATCATAACCTGAGCTGAAGGCAGATGCTTAACTGATTGAGCCACCCAGGCATCCCAATCCTATGATTTTCTTAATATTTTTTTCTTTTCTCTAGTTTACTTTATTGTTGGAATATAGTATGTAACACATATAACATACAAAATATGTGTTAATCTACCATTTATGCTATTGGTAAGGCTTCTGGTCAACAGTAGACTTAGTAGTTAAGTTTTGGGGAAGTCAAAAGTCATACATGGATTTTCAACTGTGCAAGTTGGGGTGGTCGGCGTCCCTAACCCCCATGTTGTTCAAGGGTCAACTGTACTCTAATTCCATATCCTTTTTTCTCTTTTTTTAAGATTTATTTATTTTAGAGAGAGAGAGAGTGCACAAGCATGTGTGAGTGGGGGGAGGGGCAGAGGGAGAGACTCTTCAAGCGGAATCCCCGCTGAGCACAGAGCCCAACCTGGGGCTCGATCTCACCACCCATGAGATCATGACATGAGCTGAAACCAAGAGTCAGATGCTTAACCAACTGAGCCACCTGGGCGCCCCCATTTCCTTTCTTATATAACTTTGTGTTTTCCTGTAAATTAAGAATTTGCTTTGTTTTTTCATTTGCTTGCTTATTTTGAAAGTCTGACCAAGTCTTCCAACATCCTTCAGTAGCTCTGTGATACTCCTTTTTTTTATGTTTATTTTTTTTAGTAATCTCTACACCCAACATGGGGCTCAACTTACGACCCCAAGACCAAGAGTCGCATGCTCTTCCAACTGAGCCAGCCAGGGCCCCTTACCATGTTTTTGGTGTCACCATTGAGTTTTTAGCCATTCTAGTGGATGTGAAGTGGTAAAGATTTATTTTTCATCTTGAACCATGTCTCTTGCCTTGGTGTCCTGCTATCTGTCAACCAATCCATGGATCATCAATCAGTCAACACAGAAACCACCCCCTATGTCCTGGGCTATGTTCTCTGAAGGATACAAAGAAGGTTAATGCCCCTGACTTTGAGGATTTACTCTTTACTATCTATGGTCAGTACCAAAATTCTTACTGGGGCATCTAAGGCTCTGCAGGCTCTGGCTTATGTCTCTTTCTCAACTTCATTTCTTTCCACTTGCTGACCACTGTTTCCTAGTTACCTTTTTTTAAAAATGTTATCAAGCTCCCTTCTGCCTCTCAGAGCCTCCCGCCCCCCCCGCCCCCGTTCCTTCTCCTAGAGATCTTCTCTCCCAGCGTATACCATGTTACCTCATTCTGCTCTTGGTTTCAGTTTCAGTGTCACCTTCACAGGGACACTTACCCCATCACCCAAGTCAAGGCTGGCTCACTGTTCTGTAAGCTCATCACCTTGCCCTTTAACTAATCACAGTAGGTATGGTGGGGAGTGGAGTTGTGAGGGGTCAAATGCCTAGGTTCTGGAGCCAGGCTGGTTTCTAGTTCTGCCTTTGATACTTACTAGCTATGTAACCTTGGGCAAAATACTTTACCTCCCTGGATAGGACTATAATAAAACCTAGCATATAAAGCCATTGAGAGGGTTAAATGAAGTAGGTCATTTATGTCACTTAGAACTTGTTTGGCATTCTCTAAATGCTAGCCCTTATTTTCACGGTTGTAAATTAAACAATTATTTATGTAGATTAAAAAGAAGCATGCCTCGTCAGTGCTGTATCCTCAGCACCTAGCATAGGACTTATTGCATAGTAGGAATTTAAGAAATATTTGTGAACGGATGACTGAATGCCAAGTGTATCCTCCAGGATATCAGAAGGAAAGACATTTTAGAGAGGAGATGGCCAACTCTAATCAATTGGTAGTGACAACCTGGAGTCCTGTGTGGAGAAAATGATTTTGAAGTTGCATCTGGGGTCACAGTGGACTGTGATTGATTGATTAATCATGTCTGCCAAGGCCCTGGAAAAACCCCTGCAAAGCAAGTGTTAAGGGTTTGACCTCTCTGCTATAGAGAACACTCACTATCCTGTTGGAAAGAGTCCAGAATGGTGAAATGACCGGTTTGCCTCCTTTCTCTCTACTGCCTCCCCACTCCCGGACCTTCCATCTTTCCTCTGGGCACTGAAGGCTCTGTGTTGCATTGCCCACACGCCCTCTGAAGCACTGTGTTTCTTTCTTTTGCCTGGTCTCTGGACCAACTTCCAATCAGCGTTATTTCAGTTGTCTCACTCCTGCCCTGAGAGGCAACCAAAATGAGCTGAACCAATCCACTAATCACCCTAGAATGACTGCACTTGACTCTTGATTGTTTTCCACCCCAGGAACACCTACAGTTAAATCTAGCCTGGGGGTGCGGTGTGTGTGCCTGTTTGTGGTTTAGGGCTGGGTAATGAATCAAATGCGGGGGGGGGGGGGGGGCCCAAGGATGCCTAGTGAAGGTGGCCAGAGTGAGGGCATACGCAGCCTCCATGCTTGCCACGCTGGAAGGTGAGTCCCGTGCTGCCACAGTCTCCAACTTTTTAAGAGAGTGCAGAAATCTGGATTTTTACATGAAATCTCCCTAGTTTAAAAAATGTTTGCAATTAGGGGAACCTGGGTGGCTCAGGCGGTTAAGCGCCCAACTCTTGATTTCGGCTCAGGTCATGCGCTCAGGGTCTTGAGATCAAGCCCTGCCTGGGCTCCACGTCCAGCCGGGAGTCCGCTTAAGATTCTCCCTCCCTCTCCCTCCGCCCCTCCCCCACTCGCTCACTCGCTTGTTAGTGCGCGCGCGCCTGCGCGCACGCCTGCGCGCACACTCACTCTCTCTCAAAAAAAAAAGTTTGCAATAAAATTTTAAGAAAGCAGTGGGTAGACCAAAGAAAATGGTATCGGTATTGGGCTGTACTTGGTCCATTTGCTGTCCCCGTCTGGGCCCTTACTAACCTTTCCAATCCCTCTGCAATGGCCTGGTCCTTCAGAGTTCAACCTTAGGTGACTTCCCCTTCATGAAATCACCCCAATCCCTTCGTGGTACATCTTTCTTCTTGTAGGACACTCTGGGGGTCCCTCATGGTAATTATTAATCTTCCTGAGATCTATTGGTACTCCTGCCACGTTACCATAATTACTCATTTCATTCTCTCAGCTGCCCAGTGAAGTATTTGCACATTTAGAGATGAGGGGGGACGCTGAGATCTTGCTGGGGTCATAAAGCCATGGAGTTAAGGGTTGGAGCTGAGATTCCAACCCGCCAAGTCTGATCTCTACCTCGAGCGGCACTGCTTCCTTAAACTCCTCCGCGGCAGGGCGGTGGTCTCAACTCTAGACTGAGTGCTGACTTTCTGCTTGGGAGAAGACCCGCGCGCCTCCTGGCGCTCCTCTCTCTTCCCGCCTTTGTGGCCGCAGCCACTCCCTTTCCGGGTTTTGCCGCTCACCGCCCTCCTCAGGCGATAATCCGCTTCCGCATTTTGCGGGGCGCCGGGCGTGGAGGCGGTAACGCGCACGCGCGCAGGGATCCGGCCCGGGCCGACCGCGCGGCCCGGCGATTGCGGGTGAGGGAAGGGCCGGCCCCGGCGGGGTGGCGGGTCCGGCGGGTCGCGGCCCGGGGTCGGGGCGAGCGGGAGTCTCGGCGAGGGCTTCAGGACTCCCGGGGCATGCGAGGATCGGGGGCTAGAGCCCGGGGCCAGGGCGGCTGGGGTCGGACGGGCGCGTTGGGCCCGGGACGGACTTGGGCCGCCGTGACGCGGGAGCCCGGTCGGGCCCGGGCCCGTGACGCGGGCGGGAGGCGGGTGCGAGGCGGCTCCTCCTCGTCGCGAACTCTCGGTGACCTTGGCCAGGTCGCTTCATCTCCCCCCGAGCCGGCGCCTCCGTCTATACAGTGCGCATTATAAGCCCTGCCTACTAGATGGGGCGTTTCGAGGCTCAGTGGCGAGACCCCCGGAGGGGTACGTGGAGTACCGGGCGGTTTGCCGGGGACTACCCACCCTGGGGCGGGGGAGAAGGGGCTTCCTGGGATAGCGTTTTGCTGCAGCCTTTGGGCAGGAGTTCTCATCTGGATATTTTAAGGACTCCGGGGCATTAGGAAGTAGTTGCAAAACTTTTAACATAAGAAAGAGGCTTGAAGGGCTTCCTAGAGGCCCACGTTGCCCTGCTGTTACTGGAGTGCCCCCACTCTGGCCGCCTAGATGGCTCTGAATATTTGGGAAATGGTGTGAAGCAATGGAGCGACGGAGCCCCTTAGTTTTGGAAGAATGAATGTTTGTGATTCGTGTTTGCCAGAACCTTCCCTCCCTGCATAGGAATTTGTGATGCTGGCCAAGCAAGTTTACTATGTGTCCATGTTAGGCCTTTGTGAACAGTGGAGTCAATCAGCTGTCCAGTAAACGAATTTTGTAGGGATTGAGTATGGAGGATCCTGTGGTGCCAATACCCTTTTTTAGGGGTGGTGTGGGATCTCAGGAGCCCTTCCTATGGTGGCCAAGAGTCTGTGGTGTAATGGTTACTCAATTATGAGAAAGTCACAAAAGTAACAAGCATATTAGATATTATTCTAGGTTGGAAGAAATTTAGAATCTTTGAATTGCCTTAAACCGAAACTTTTCACTGCAGGTGACTAGCATGCAGATACCCATTCTCTGACTTGCTGGCCCTCTACTGACATGGCCCACCGGGGTGGGGAGAGGGACTTCCAGACTTCAGCGCGGCGCATGGGCACCTCGCTGCTCTTTCAGCTTTCAGTGCACGAGCGGGAGCTGGACCTGGTTTTTCTGGATCATAGCTATGCCAAGCCGTGGAGTGCCCACCCAGATGCCAGTAGTGCTCGCCCTACGCGCATGCTCTTTGTTACTCCCCGGAGGCAGCATGAAAGTACCATGTGAGTCTGGGCTTCTCTCCTAAGGGCTGCCCTTCCCCTCTAACTGGACAGTAATCAGATGGTGGGGATTAGAAAGGATTTTATTGTGGGAGATTATATGGGGGCCTTGGATATTTACCTAAGGCATCTCTGTCAGGCAGTGTGAGGTTATCCTGCCTATATGTAGACATCTGCATTCAAGACATCTAACAAGTTAGGAAAGCAAACAACATACTCCACGTAGTTAATAGGACTTGTATGGAAAGAGGATTATTTAGCTGGTGATGAAAAAGAAGAGTTGATGTTTTAAAAATTGTCACTCAGGATTAGACTCATTTCCTTTACTCCAGTGTTCTGGCTTGTTCCAACACTGGCAATGATAACCTTTTTGAGGTAATGTGATTTCTTTTTTCTGGCTTCACCCAGCAAAGTTTAGGAGCATATTCCAAGACATATTCCGCCTTGCTTTCTCTCTTAGCTTGTCACCCACGGGTTGATGTAAACCCTTCCTAGGTCTGATTGTATTTTCAACTGGCCTACATTATAGGGTAAGGATTTTTTTTTTATAAACTTACTATGTATATGTGATACAATTACATTTGGCCTAAATAAACTTGTTTAGCAGTTTTTTGAGCTTTAAGTTATTCTAATTTTATTTCAAGATTGATTGATATATTCTATTTTGATGATCAAATCATGCCCTGAATAATTCTGTAAACTTTTTTTGGGGGAAAAGACTTTTCTTTGTTTGTTTTAATCTAATCGAATGTCTTATCTTTCCTCTAGGACAGGTTTTAGGTTTGTTGGTGAATAGAGATCTTGTATTTTGCTTCTTTACATCTCCTATTGAGCCTTAATGAGCTAGAGGTACCATGATGTGTGTGTTTTAAACATGAATAGCACAGTGGTGTTTTGTTTGTTTGTTTGTTTTTTAAGATTTTATGCGGGACTCGATCCCAGGACCCTGGGATCATGACCTGAGCTGAAGGCAGATGCTTAACGACTGAGCCACCCAGGCGCCTGGATTTATATTTTTAAAAGATCACTTTGAATTTTTGTTGAATAGATACAGTTCAGTAGTGGAAATAGAAGACCTGCTAGTATACCATTGCAGTAGTGGGGACCAGAGATCATGATAGGTTGAGTAGAGGCAGGAATAGTACAGATGAAGAAAAAGGATGACCTTGAGATGTATTTCATAGGTAGAACCAACAGGACCTGCCGTGGTGAATTGGAAAGACAGGGAAAAGGTGAAATTAGGATGAGTCAGATTTTTGGCTCGGGTAGCTGAGTGGTACTGTGAGTTGGGGAAGACCGGGGGTGAGGCGGTGGGGGATAGGTTAGGAATGGTGACATCTGGAGTTCTCTTTTAGGCATACAAGTCCAAGTGCCTAGCTCAATGTCTGGTCCAGAGAAGGTAATCAGCTCTTTCATCCACCACCAAATCTAGCTGCACATATTTCACTTCATTTCATAATGATGTAATTATTCTGGCCATTGGGAATAGATGCAATAAGATCATCATTGGGGTCAAAACGTTAAAGCGATGTTTGATAGCCAGTAGACCATTTTGATTGGCATAGTATTTTGAGTGACTAGTTTGGTGCAGTGAAGAGCCCTTATGGCACTAGGATTTAATTAACAACATTTTAAAATATGAAAGATCCATCACATATCCATTTCTGTTTGTTTCTGTTCTAGACTCCTTAAACAGTGAGTTAAATAAGGTGTCTACATTCCAGGTGATCTGTCTTAGACAACCATAGGCTTTTATAGCGTATAATTACCAGTTGACTTGCTAATGAAAGGGAAAGTTTGTATGAATAATTTAAAACTAGCACTGTCCAACAGAACTCTTTGCAATGAGAAAAACGTTCTGTATCTGTGCTGTCTAATGTGGGAGCTGCTAGCCACATGTGTCTATTGAGCACTTGAAATGTGGCTAGTGTAACGAAGGAACTGAATTTTTAATTCTACTTAATTTTTATTAATTGAAATAGTTGCATGTGGCTTATAGTTACTGTATTGGAAAGTACATCTAGGCAGTCAACTGTTTGCTTATGGAATATTTTTGTCTTTTAACAAAAATAGCTGTTTGTCATTTTTTATGTAGACACATTTTAAAATGACTTTGTGTTCCCCCAGCACATAACAGCATGTCAGAGGGCAGAGATCTAGACAAGTGTGGGAAAGATGACTTTGGATCGTAATTTTCTTGTGGGTATAATGTGCTTATGTATACTTTCAAGCTGATTATATTAAAGAGTCATTTTTTGGCAACCAGATGATCGTTAAACACCTCTGTTGTGTGAAGTACGTGTGGCCTGGTCCTATTTCCTCACCTGTTTACAGTGAATCAGACGTCCCAATAGATGTGGAGACAGTCACATCAACTCCTGTGCCCCTCTATGACAATCAGAAGGCACGCAGCGTGATGAATGAGTGTGAACGGCATGTCATCTTCGCTAGGACTGATGCAGATGCCCCTCCTCCACCAGAGGACTGGGAGGAGCATGTCAACAGGTAGGCCGCTGCTCAGGAGGACTGGTCACTGCAGGGTTAATGTTCATCGCATTGTCAATATTTTGTATCATCATCTTCATCGAAATGCATCTATTAGGAGTTTATTTCATTTGTTGCCACACGAGTCAGAATGTTTTCTTAACTCTGTGTTATAACTCTCAGCTCAGGATGCAGTGAGGTGCTTGAGAGGAGGACTTGTGTCTCAGCCCTCTTTGCATCCCTGACCCTAGGACACTGCCTGGCACGTAGTAGGCGTATAATAAATGCTTATTGAATAAGTAAATGAGTTGAATATGATAGGTATGACTAGTTCTGTATCTTATATAGTGTAGGCTATGCTGTCGGAGTTACTCAGACTACAAACAAGCCATTAAATAAGAGTACGTTGGTAAGATACTGTATTTATATGGTCTATAACTAGAGTAATGAAAATGTTTTGGAGTCACTTGAAAAGCTAACAGATGTTTGATTTGAGTGGCTTTTAAAAATAGATTTACAGTCTATGGTTTTGAGGGAGTTTTCATGAGTTTGTTGGCTGATTTTATTCCCTTGCTTCCTGCTGACCCAGGGGACTCCATTCCTCTCTGGCCCATTTGTCATTGTTCCTTTAACATACATTTATTTATCTTTTACTTACTGCAAACAACTTTATGAAGATAAAATTTACATACCATACAATTCACCTGTTTAATGTGTACACAATCAGTGGTTTTTAGTATATGCGCAACCACAGTCAATTTGATGAACATTTTTGTCATCCACAAAAGAAACTCTGTACCCTTTAACGGTTACTTCCCATTTCCTCCCAATCCCTTCATCGCCTGGCAACCACTAGTCTACTGTCTTTCTCCCTAAATTTGTGTATTCTGGACATTTCATATAAATGGAATCATAAGATATGTGTCCTTTTGTATCTGCCTTTTTTCACTTAGCATAATGTTTTCAAGGTTCATTCATGTTGTAGCATGAGTCAGTACTTCATTCCGTTTTATTGCTGAAATTCCATTGTGTGGATATATCACATTTTGTTTATCCATTCATCCATTGATGGATATTTGGGTTGCTAACACTGTGACTATTTTGGATAATGTTGCTATGAACATTCATGTGCTTTTTTTTGTGGACATGTGGTTTCAGTTCTCTTGCGTATATACCTAGGAATGGAATTGCTGGGTCATACGGTAACTCTGTTTAACTTTTGAGGAATTTCCGACTATTTTCCAAGGGGGCTTCGGCATTCTACATTCCCACCAGCAGTGTGTGAGAGTTCCAGTTTTCCCACATCTTTGCCAACACTTGTTATTGTCTGCCTCTTTTTTTATTATTACCATTCTAGCGGATGCAAAGTGACATCTCATTGTGGATTTAATATTCATTTCCTTGATGGCTCTATCTCTATCTGCTGTGTGTAAGGGAATGTTAAAATCTTCACAGCAAGAGTGTGTAGGTAGTAAACTTGCCATAATGTTGGAGAGCTCTTGTTTTATAATAATGGAAGAGGAAGAGGTAATTAGATAGGAAGAAGGGTAGGAAGGTTTGAGGCAATTGGCACGGTTTCTGAGTCTGGTCAGAAGCAGGGAATGAGATTGAGCAGGTATGCTTGTGTGAGGAGGGTAGTAGCTATGGGGGGAGGAACGGTTCTCCACCTGGGTGAAGAGCTTGTGAAGAAGTTAAGTTGTTTGGGGTGTTGAGTTGGAATTACTGTTGTGCCCTAAAAACGGAAAATGTTCTCCAGAGCTTCAGCTAAAGAGGGAAACTTCTGCTGTGAGTGAAGATCAACTACTAGAGTATTCCTGGAGTCAGTGAATGCAGCAAAACGGTTTATTGCCATTGTTGCAGTTAATAATAATAAAAAAATGGTAACAATGGTAGTACCTAAAAAGAACTACCATTTGTTGAGTGCTTTCTAGGTGCCAGGCACTGTGCCACGCGCTTCATATGCATTATTTCTTTTAGTCCTCACAATAATTCTCTGAGCTATATCGCTTCTTCGTCTCTATTTTATAAGATGAAGAAACTGAGCTCGGGGAGTTTAAGAAACCTTAGTTTAGGAAGTGATGGGGCAGGAATTTGTTCAAAGCAAGCCGTCTGACCCCAGAGCTCAGTGTTCTTGACTATGTACCCTCTCTTTAAGGGCAAACCTCTCAAAAAGAGAGACCAGTTAGTGGTGGCTGAACAAGGCAGCCTTACATCGTTATGTGTCCCTTTGTGGTGTTACCAGTTGCCTTGTCCTCGGTTTGCAATTTCTGAAACTGCATGGGAGAACTACATGAAGTTCTTTTTATCTGTTCACCCATGGTCATGATCAGGAGGTTTTTTGTTTTTTTTTTAAGATTTTATTTATTTATTCATGAGACTCAGAGGGGGAGAGAGAGAGAGAGAGAAGCAGAGGGAGAAGCAGGCTCCCAAGGAGCAGGGAGCCCGATGTGGGACTCAATCCCAGGACCCTGGGATCATGACCTGAGCCGAAGGCAGACGCTTAACCATCTGAGCCACCCAGGAGGTTTTTAGGGACTCTTCATACTTACCAAAGTCATCAGAGACTTAATGCATATGAATATCTGATTCTTAATTTATAAGAAGAGAAATAACGTGTAAGGCAGATGAGACACTGGGGTGGCCTGGCCAGAGCTTCATTTCTCGGTAGGAGAGTTTGGGAAGCTATTCCATTCCAGAAGTGGGTGGTGAGTGGACAGTCTGTCCTGGAGGCCCCCTCCTTCAACAAGGCGGCTGGAGGCACCCATCTTTCCTCAAAGCAAGATGGGCCCACAGAGTAGGCCAGGGAACACCCATCACCTGCTCTGTCCTGCAGAGAAACACTGACAGAATCTTATCTTTGGCTTGTCTTTCTCCATGTGGACCTCCATCCTTCTGTTACGACATTGCCACAGATTGATATGATTAATTAGCGCTCAGTTTATCTCAGATTATTTGTTTTTTAGTGTCTGATGAGATTTTGGAGGAGTCCTCTCATTAGCAACAGGCTTACAAACCATCTTTTCAGGTAGGTCACTTTTGCACACAGCTAATTTCATTATTTGATGATACTTACTGGCTTCAATTTCAGAGGTCACCATTTTATGACCTTGTCCCCGAATTCTGGATGGGTAGCCTGTGTAGAGCTTGCAGTTAGTTCCTTGTGCTCTGATTATAATCATCTTGTTGCCGTTCTTTCCCTTGACTTGATTGTTAAATTGCTGCTTCTTTTCTTCCTGTATAAAATCCTGTAAAATTACAGTTTCCCATATCAAGAACTCATGGGCTATATAGGACAGTGCCCTAGAAATCTGTTTTTCCTCAGAGCTTACTGATCTATCGGTAGAGTCAGAAACTTAATTTTCTTTGTTAGAGCCCTATTTCCCCCTCTTGAATTATTTCAGTAGAAACTGTCTTTAGATAGCTTTCTTGGGATAGATAATGAAGGCCCCCTCCTACCCCCAACCGACTCTGACTTTCTCTAGTAATGCCTGATATTTTGTGAAACAATTTAAATATCCCTCTCTGCCTGATTTAATTGCCTAGATCAGGGGTTGGCAAACTATGGCCCATGTGCCAGATTTCACCCATTGCTTGTTTTTGTTTGGCCCATGAGCTGAGAATGGTTTTTACATTTTTAAGTGGTTGAAAAAAAGTCAAAAGACACATGAAATCAGATTTCAGTGTCCATAAATGTAGTTTCATTGGAACACAGCCATGCATGTTATTTAGGTATTGTCCTTGTCTTCTTTTGCGCCATACCCACAGAGTTGAATCCTTGTGACCCAGGCCATGTGGCCCACAAATTGAAATATTTACTATATAGTCTATTAAAGAATAAGTTTGCTGACCTCTGGTCTAGATCATGCTCTTGTGTCTGCATGTCAAAGTCTGGTGGCTTGTAGAGCCTTTGAAAATGACTTACATTTGCTGTATAGCACTGTCGTCCTGAGGAAGTTGGACTGGCTTTTTTTTTTTCCCCAGATGTTTTATCAAACGCCAAGTTTAATTAGATACACAGCTTTTGAAAGAGATTTAACAAAATACTCCTGGCACATGATATTTCTCAGCATGGTCAAATGGATTTTAGGACATTTCCAACATTTCAGTAAAAGAATCTAGTGTCCTTAAGCAGCTTGTCTTATCTTAAAATTCAGAACTTCTGAATTTAGCCAAAGGAAAATTGTTCTCCATTTAAAAATTTGCTCTAATTATATCTCTCAATATTGTATGTGCCTGCCTGTGTATTAATCTTAGGTTGGATATTTGAAATTTTGAGTCTAAGATCTTTGAGTTATTTTTCCCTCTCCCCCCTCCCTCCCTCTCCTTCTCTTTCCTTTCTTCCTTTCTGTTAGTGTTTAAGGAAAGAATTTTTATAATCTGGAAAATAAGTGTGGCCTATTCAGTCCCTCTGATGTTCTTTGTCTCTCCCTGTTTGACTTCTGGTTAAAAAAAAATCCTTTAGACATTTTAATATTGAATTAGTCTCCCTTAAAACAGTATCAGAGAAAGAATATTACCTTTGAAAACATCAGGCTTTTCTGGGACCAGTGTGACTTTGGCTGCTTTGGATAAGATGAGCCAGAGGTCAGACATCAGTCAGGTTCTATCAAAGCATGGGGAATACGAGATTATCTGATCTCATTTAAGAAATGAAGAAAAGGCACTTCTGCACTCATGAAAATTGAATTGGTTTAGGTGGGGGGAGCACGTTGACTCACCACAGTTCCCATCAGCTATTTGACTGTTTAGACTTGTATTTAAAATTCTGTCTCCTGTTTTTAAAATTTTCCTTAATTATATCTTTTGCATGCTCTTTATCTTAATCTTGGGTTAGATCTTTTTTTTTTTCCTGCCCACTTAATTTTCCAGCCTCCCACGAAGCTGACAAAATATAGAGAACACGTTTCACTTCTTGGAATCACTTTGTTATATATCCAGCAACAATCCTAAGAACTTTTTCTGGGATTTTAGACTCTCAACATTGTGGTTTTTCAATTTAATCTCAGCTGTCCTTGGTGTATGGTAGTAATTTCTAAGTAGCTTTCTAGCCCCCTCCCATTTTGTTCACATCATTTTTCTTGCTTCCGTCATTTTGGGTTTCAGAATAAATATAGAGTAAGAAAAACAAATAGAGAAAACATCCTGTTATATAATAAAGAACAGGATAATTTTGGAACTGCTGTTAGTGCCTTGTAAATAAATTATACCTCATTCTCTGTCCTTGGAATTAAAGTTTGCAACATGATCGATAGACTTTGAGAAAGCACAAGAGATTGTTGAACATGAAGGAATTGTATTCGCTGCTTAACCTGTTTGATTAAAAGTGAGCAATGTTGCCTGGGGTGAAGCTACAGTATAATACCACTTTAGAGGTGTTGCAGTTTTTTTATACATATTATTTTCACACAACTGGAAATCTGAAATTTTTGACACAGATAGCCTTTGATTTTTCATTTCCACTTGAAATTTATCTTACAGAGATACTTACATGCCTATATAAAGATGTAGACAGATGTGTGTAGTGTGTATTGGTGGGGAAAGGAAGGGTGGTCACTGCAACCGTTTATAATAGCAATAAAAGAGACACAACCTAAATGCCCACCAGTAGGGTGGAACCAGCCATTAAAAACAAAGAGGTGTGTTGATATGGAAATACTGTATATCCAAGTCCACCTGAGAATTGCTATACATGAGAAAGCAACTACTCATGTGAATGTGCTGTACATTTAAATAATGTGGAGGAAAATGAGATCGTGAACCAGTGGGCTGGAGCTGCTTTCCCACAAGCCTTCCTGATCCCGAGATATCCTGAGTTCCACTGTTGAGTTGAAGCCTCTCCCCACCTCCCAAGTCAAAAATCTCTGAAATATCAAACCGCAACAAAAACTGACTGGATCCTAATGAAGTAGCAGGAATTAAGCCAAGAGAACTAGGGGAAAATAAGAAAAAGGACAATTCCACAAAACCCAAGACTGCTTTTAGTACCCCATAAGGGGGTTATGAAGGGTGGGAGGCTTGGGAGGTTAAGGGATTCAGCTGTAGCAAGAATAGCTACTGAAGATAGAGAGTGCTTCTGAATTCTCCATCATGGACTTCAGCTGTTCTCTTACAACTTGTGTTTCCATCAGTCAGCATAGCTGAGATTATGGTTGCTAGAAGCAACCTTGGAGACCAAGAGGTCCACATATATTTTATAGTCAAGGAGCCTGAGGACACACAGCCATCTCTTTATTGCAGAGCTGGTTAGAGTCCTCGCTCCTAGTTAGTGTTCTCTTGGACTGTGTGTGTTTGTGTGTGTGTGTGTAACTGTAGTCAGTCGTAAAACTGGAGATGTAGGTGGAGATTTTATTTTACAGAGAAAATGAAGGCCTGTTATTTTCTCCCTTTCTAGAGGGTACTCTAAGGGCAGTAGGATTGTTGTAGAAAATGAATAACAAAGGGTAATTTGTCCTCCATCTGCACACTTATTAGGCCTCGTTACTAGTATTCTTAGACAACCTGTAGAAAATAGGGTATCTTGCTGGTGGTATATGATGGAAAAGATACTAGTCTGATATAAAGTAAGAGAAATTGAGATTGTTGAAGCTGTTTCAAGCACCTTCCCTCAGTTTGCCCACCCAGGTATGCCCACCCACTCAGTTTACAGTTGAGCCTGAATCATGTAGCGTTCCTGTCCTGCTCAGTGCTTAGTGTGGTAGGGAGTGTAGGGGTTGGTGTCTGCACTCAGCTATTTACAGGACTTGGAATATAGTATGCATACAGTTCATCCATTTATTTATTCAGCAGACGTTCAAGTGACTCTTGTGTGTCAGACACTGTTTTACATGCTGGGGATATTATACTTAAACAAAACCAACAAAAATCCCTGCCGTGTTGCCCTTTACATTCTAGCAGAGGGAGACACACTAAACAGAAGTAAGATGGGTAGAGCATGAGGTGGTGATATGGCTGGAAGGGGATATGGAATCTGGGTATTGGTAGTTTTAAATAAGGGTGAGTCAGGGGAAGCCTCAGGAGAAGGTAACATTTGAGCAATGACCTGGAGGAGATTGGAGAGGGAGCCGTTGTTTGAGGTAGAAGGAATAGATGACCAGGGCCCAGTCTGCGATGTGGGAGCATGGAGGGTGTGCTTGTCAGGTGGGATGGGGCAGTGTGGTGAAGCCCAGTAAGTCAGGGCAGTCATGGATGATGAGGTTGGAGGCAGTGGGGTCCAATCAGTTTTAACTGATTGAAATGGGGCCACTAAAGGCCTTTGAGCAGAGTGACATGATTTGACTTAGGTTTTTTGATTGATTTTTTTTTTCCTCCATAATTGATTTTCCACAATGACTTTCCAAAAAGTTGTACTAATTTATATTTCTATCAGTAAAGTATGGAGAGACCTATTTTCTTACACTCTTACAACATAGAGTATTACTAAATTTCGTAATTTTCACCCATTTGATAGGTGAAAAATAATATTTTATGATTTTCGTTTGTATGATTCTGGAGGGAGTTGATTACTTTTTTGTGTGTGAACTGCTTTTTCATGTTCTTTGCCCATTGTTTTTGTTTTGAGTATTTTATCATTTTGTCACTAATTTCCTGGAGGTTTTTTCTGTTTTAATGAAATGACAGTTACTTTTCCATTGTGTTTTGACTTTATGATAGTTTAGTTTTTTTCTTTACAGAAGTTTGAAGTTTTTATTTATCTTTATATCGTTAATATTTATCTTTCTTTTATGGCTTCTAGGTCTTAGGTCATATTTAGAAAGGTCTTATTCAAAGATTTTATTTATTTGACAGAGAGAGACACAGCGAGAGAGGGAACAGAAGCAGGGGGAGTGGGAGAGGGAGAAGCAGGCTTCCCGTGGGGCAGGGAGCCCAGTGCGGGGCTCAATCCCAGGACCCTGGGATCATGATCAGAGCCGAAGGCAGACGCTTAACGACTGAGCCACCCAGGCGCCCCTAGAAAGGTCTTATTCATACATTATACACACATACCCACCACTTTTTCCTATTTAGTAACTTTATTTTTTAATATTTAACTTTTCTACTTAGAATTTATTTTGGTGTAAAGAGTGATGTGTAGGGGTCCAGATTTTCTTTTTCCAATTGGCTAGTAGTTGTCTCAGCCCTATTTACTTGAACCCTACTGATTGAAATACTACTATGATCTCATTCCAGGTTCTCATTTGAGTCTGGCATCCACTTAAGTTGTTTTTTTAAAGGTAACTTAATTACCAGTTTTTGTGTGTGTGTATGGCAGGGAGAGTTGATAAATATTAATTGGGCATCTTCTGTTACCTTTCTCTTAGTCTCTTTAGGAAGGTTACTGGCCAGAGTTCGAGATCAGAGTCATTAAGATTGCCAGGAGTGGGCTGAGGGGGGACTTAAAATAAGCTCCTCGCCACTGTGCTGGGTGTGATGAGGTGGGAACAAGAGCAGTAGGACTAGTTTCTAATTGCAGGAGTTTACTGCTGAGTTGGAGGACACACTAAGCCTTCCTTAATCAAAGTAGAAGTGTGTATACCAGTGTCATGCGGGGATGGTATAGTGTTAACTTACATGGAACAGACCATTCAAAAGTAAAACTTGCTAATTGTGTAGTTTACAGAAAAATATAAAAAATATACATGGAAAAGGGAGAGAGAGAGTGTGGGATGCACTGTTAGGGAAAAGCTTCATTTGTTATGTTCCTAAAGGTAATTTAAATAGGTCTCTTATCTTAGTCTGAGGTTTTAGTATACTGAAATACTTGTTCATCCTGTCTTTTTGTGTGAAATATTAAACATGTGAAATTCAAATATATCTGTGCAATGGTGCTGTGCTTTTATTCATTAGTGGGTTATTTTAGCCTCTAGATAAATAATTAGCTTTGCTAGCACTGAAAAAAACTTCATTCATAACTGGTTTTGACTTGTAGTGTATATATTAATACAAGTGTATGCTGAGATGACTTATGGGCAGGATTGGGACTAGAATCTAGGTCTTGGCTTTAGCTCCGTGGTCTTTAAGCTGCTTTGAGTTATATTATTTCATAGTGTGGACAAAAATCATGGCATAATCTTTGTACAGTGTACATGCATGAGGAGTGTCCCCAGCGTTTGACTTTAATTCCTCGGAGTTTCTCTTATAGGACTGGCTGGACAATGGCCCAGAACAAGCTATTTAACAAGATCCTCAAAGCCCTGCAGTCTGACCGGCTTGCCCGCTTGGCCAATGAAGGGGTAAGACTCTAGAAATTGGCCCGTTGGTGTTCTCTTCCTAGTTCAGCCTTACTGGCTGACTAACTTGTCAGTCCCTCTCCCGCCTGCCCCAGTTGTTAACAAGGTGGCCCTCATGTGTTACCACTTCACCTGCATCTTCTAGGCTTGCAATGAGCCAGTGCTGCGCCGTGTTGCTGTGGACAAGTGTGCGAGGAGAGTGCGGCAGGCTCTGGCAAGTGTGAGCTGGGACACCAAGCTGATCCAGTGGCTGCATACCACCCTGGTGGAGACCTTGAGTCTGCCCATGCTGGCCGCCTACCTGGATGCTTTGCAGACACTGAAAGGGAAGGTAAGGCTTGACTGGCGTCTGCCCTGTCCTGGGTTGGCCAGCCTCTGCTGTGGGTTCAGCAAGTGGGGTTGGGCAAGGTCACTGCCTGGTCAGCCTGGAGGACATGACTGAAGCGAGCAGGTTTGCTATTAAAAATAGGAGACATGGTATCATTTCACGTTTTGTCTGGTATGAACGTCTTTAGCCCTGCTGTCTCCAGGATGAAATATGAGGCCTGAAAACCAAAATGTACTTTTAGCCTCTCTAGCCCTGCAGCTTGTGGTTTGAGTCACCTCTGAGGTGAGGTGAGAAAAGAATTGAATTATCATGGAGGAGACGAAGGGTTTACCAGGGAGGTGTGTTGAGGAGGCAAGAGGCAGACTTGGGTGTTTGGAGTGCGGGGCTGCAGAGTAGGGAGATTCCAGAGTGCTGTCCATTGTAGACTATGCTCTCAGCAGTGGTTCCTCTACTGACAGACTCTTGTTCTCTTAGACTGTCAGGTTCACAATGAATACTTTGATTGTTTCTCTCTAAAACTTTTTTGAATTTATTTTTAATTTTTAAGTATAATCGAGATACAGTGTTCTATTACTTTCAGGTGTACAACATAGTGATTTGATAATTCTATACATTACTTAGTGCTCACCCCAATAAGTGTAGTCACCATCTGTCACCACAGAATGTTATTGCAATACTATTGACTGTTCCCTATGCTGTGCTTTTCATCTCTGTGACTTATTTATTTTATAATTAGAAGTTTATCTCTCTTAATCCCCTTTACTTATTTCATCCATCCCCCTAACCCTCTTTCCTCTGGCAACCAGCAGTTTGTTCTCTGAATTAATATGAGTCTATTTCTGTTTTTTAATTTGTTCATTTGTTTTATTTTTTAGATTCCACATATAAGTGGAATCATACAGTATTTGTCTTTCTCTGACTTTATTCACTTAGCATAATATCCTCTAGGTCCGTCTATTTTGTTGCAAATGGTGGGATCTCTTTTTTATGGCTGAGTAATATTCTATTGTGTATATATAACACATCATCTTTATCCATTCATCTATGGATGGACACTTGGTTACTTCCATATCTTGGCTATTATAAATAATGCTGCAGTGAACATAGGGTGCATATATCTTTTCAAATTAGTGTTTTCTTTCTTTCTTTTTTTTTTTTTTTTTGGATAAATGCCCAGTAGTGAATTACTGGATCGTATGGTAATCTATTTTTAATTTTTTTGAGGAACCGCCATACTGTTTTCCCCAGTGGTTGCATTACATTCCCACCAAGAGCGCACAAGAGTTCCCTTATCTCCATATCCTCTCCGGCACTTGTTATTTCTTGTCTTTTTGATTTTAGCCATTCTGATTGGTATAAGGTGGTAACTCCTTGTGGTTTTGATTTGCATTTCCCTGATGGTTAGTGATGTTGAGCCTTTTTTCATGTGTCTGTTGGCCATCTGTATGCCCTCTTTGGAAAAGTGTCTATTCAGGTCCTCTGCCCAATTTTTAATTGGATTATTATGTTTTCGGTGTTGAGTGGCATAAGTTCTTTATATATTTTGGATATTACCGTCTTATCAGATATATCATTTGCAAATATCTTCTCCCATTCAGGAGGTTGATGGTTTCCTTTGCTGTGCAAAAGCTTTTTATTTTGGTGTAGTCCCAATAGTTTATTTTTGCTTTTGTTCCCTTGCCCGAGGGAACAGATCATAAATACGTTGCCTGAGGCCAGTGTCGAGGAGGTTACTGCCTCTGTTTCCTTTTAGGAGTTTTCTGGTTTCAGATCTCACATTTAGGTCTTTAATCCATTTTGAGTTTATTTTTGTGTATGGTATAAGAAAGTGGTCCAGTTTCATTCTTTTGCATGTAGCTGTCCAATTTTCCCAACACCATTTATTTTTTTTATTTATTTTTAACATTTTTATTTATTTGACAGAGAGGGAGATAGTGAGAGAGAGCACAAGTGGGGGAGCGGCAGGCAGGCAGAGGGAGAAGGAGAAGCAGGCTCTCTGCTGAGCAAGGAGCCCGATGCGGGACTCGATCCCAGGACCCTGGGATCATGACCTGAGCCGAAGGCAGCCGCTTAACCGACTGAGCCACCCAGGCGTCCCTTCCCAACACCATTTATTTAAAGAGACTGTCTTTTCCCCATTGTATATTCTTGCCTCCTCTGTCATAGATTAATTGACCATATAAGTGTGGGTTTATTTCTGGATTCTCTATTCTGTTCCATTGATCAATGTGTCTGTTTTTGTGTTAGCGCCATACTGTTTGGATCACTGTAGCTTTGTAGTATATCTGGGATGTACTGTAGTAAGTCTGGGATTGTGATACCTCCAGCTTTGTTGTTCTTTCTCAAGATTGCTTTGGCTATTTGGGGTCTTTGTGGTTCCATACAAATTTCAGGATTATTTGTTTTAGTTTTCTGAAAATTGGTATTGTAATTTTGATAGGGTTTGCATTGAATCTGTAGATTGCTTTTGTTGGTATTATGGACATTTTAACAAATTTAATTTTTCTAATCCATAAGCGTGGAATATCCATTTTTTTTTTTTTTTAAGATTTTATTTATTTATTTGACAGAGAGAGACACAGCAAGAGCGGGAACACAAGCAGGGGGAGTGGGAGAGGGAAAAGCAGGCCTCCCGCTGAGCAGGTAGCCTGACGCGCGGCTCGATCCCAGGACCGGACTGTGGCGTCATGACCCAAGCTGAAGGCAGATGCCTAACAACTGAGCCACCCAGGCGCCCCTGGAATATCCATTTCTTTGTGTCATCTTCAATTTCTTTCATTAATGTCTTACAGTCTTTAAAGCAAAGGTCTTTTACCTTCTTTTAATGTACCTGTTGGATGGAAATACATGTGAATGGGATCATGCTCTTTGTCCAGCTACTTTCAGCATTAGTGAAAAGAGCCATTGTGAAGAGAGCAGAGAAGGTATACACCCTAGTGTCTTAATTTTCTGTTGAGAATGATGCAGTGTTGGAAAGACCAGCTAGGCTTGGTCTGCCTAGCTCCAAGCATAGGTTACTGATTAATTATTTCTAAGTAGTCTGTATTGACAGAAGGTGAGTTTCAAGGCTTTATTGTTTCAGAGTTGTAATCTATTTCCAGATAAAAGCTTTTAAAGTCTAATTCGGATTAGATCCTCTGCCTCAAGGTGTTGAGTGGCTTGTAGTTACCAAATAAGTTACAAAAAACGTGGCCAGTTTGTAGTGAAGATCCTTTGCCTTTGTTAACTGTCCTTATGTCCTCCCTACTTCCATACTTGAATTCCTGACTTCAGGCCATCTCTATCTAGAATAAGCCCTACAAAGTCTTGCTTCTGTCTGGTGTCACTGATTGGAAAGCATTTTTCCCATGTTCTGTTGGAATTCTGCAGAACACATCTCACTTGACATGCTTCATCTTCAGATGAAAATTGCCTCGTCTTCCTCCTCCTCTGTCGGATGGTTTGAATCAGCAGTGTGGGGTTTCTGTTTTTTTTCCTGGCAGTTATAAATAGCCTCTTTTGTTATTTGTGTGTTTGTCTTCCTTACCCCTAGTAGATTAAGTTCTTTTGCAGTACAAGCCTGCTGCCTTGTAACTGCAGCTGTGGCATCAACATTTGTTTCCTGAATTAAACTGAGACGGTCTCATGATATATTCCCCCTAATTTCTCAGGCAAAAATCTTTTTAGTCTTGATTTTTTTAAATTAGTAATACTGTCCGTGCTTGTCATTGCCTGGTGCAGCTTACTTTCTTGTGTTATCTTTGGACTTTGTGACATATAGCATTTTATTAGTTTCAGCTGTACAACATGACTTGATATTTGTATATATTGCGAAATGATCACCACAGTAAGTCTAGCTAATGTGTGTCACTGTACGTAGTTATAAAATTTTTTTTCTTGTGATGAGAACTTTTAAGATCTACTCTTAGCAA